AGCCTGGCCAAAACCAGTCCCGTAGCTCGCTCGAGATTTCGAACTTAGCGTGGTCGGATGGTCGTCCGTAGCCTCGGATGAGATACAGTGGAAGCCTTTCGCAGGAGGCGCGACGAGCGGAACATGGTCTGGCGAAAGACGGTGCTCGGAAGGAAAGCATTTTGCGCCCATTTAATTACATCGCTACGGAATATGTAGGATGGCGCATTCGCGTCGTCGACTTCTTCTTCGAATGTATGGATGATGGGAAGGGTGAGGCGTGTTTGTAGAGCAGGGTAGAGGACAGTTGAGGATTCGGAAATTCTGCAGTTGAATATTTTGCTATATATATGTGTTTAAGACAAATATCTTTGCCCCCTCACGGGGGCATTTGGTCAATTTGAAACGATACAGGTTGGTTTACCCGTTCGCTGCAAAAAAAATTCGGCTACTGATTCCAAACTAGAGAAGATTAGCATGGCCCCTGCACTAAGGATGACACGCTGTACGTTCGCCCCCAGTTATGTTCTGTACTTCATAGATATGAATACTAATTCCGCAAAGCAATCAAAGAGAAGCTACCAATTTTTTTGTTTTTTGTTTCCTCAAGTCATGTAGCAATCTTTTGTTTGTGCAAATTTTCGTGACTTTTGATGTTTTTGCTTTGCGCGGATTTTTGTCCCGCTCGAACCATGCAGCTTTTTTCAGCCCCCCTTGGCATTGCCACTGGTTTTACGGTGGGCTGGTGGGCCCATGGTGCAGGTTGCCGGCCACGATTGAGAAATCTAAAAGCTGACATTGACTACTCTATCATCTATTACTTTATCATCTATCGGGTATTCTACAATTGCTGTACTGTCTAAGTAGCACACAAAGAAACAAGCTCCATGAACACCGCTTGCGCCTACTCCACATCCAATGACTCATGGTACTGAAAACTATCATCCTCCTCCTCCTCATCCAGCGCAAAGTCATTTTCGTCAATAGGCCGCATGTCAGTGTCGTAGCTCCGCCGCTGTTGCTGCTCGTACGCTTTGACCATACTCTCGTGCTCGTTACCCTGTCGCATCTCATCATGTCCCAATGCTCCATTCGCCAACGTCGCTGCTCCGTTTGCGACTGCAAAGGCTGTATTGCCGGCTTTGTGTACCAGCCATCCAGTGTTTGCAGCGAACCATTGATCGATCTGCTCCAGACTTTTACCGGCTGTCTCCACGACGAGGTAGTAGATGATGGGGACAAAGGAGGCGTTCAAGACTGCGTATAGCAGATACAGACCCCAGTGCAGATAGTGTATGCCAATCGGTGTGGTCTGCACAACCACGTAGTTGAACAGCCAATCGCAGGCGGTAGCAAGCGCAGCACCTTTGGTCCGCATGCTGAGCGAGTTGATCTCGGCGGGGTACAGCCACGGCACGGCGACCCATCCGAAGCCGAAAGCTAGGAAGTAGAAGGTGATGAACACTGTAGCCACGATACCAGGGATATGATGGCCATTGTCGTGGCTGATTTCCGTGCTGATGGCGATGCCGAGGAAGGAGATAGCCATGGCCGCAGCCATCGACATTAGCAGAGGGCGCCGACCTAGTCGTTCGATGAAGAAGAGCGAGGCTGCAGTGGCGAACATGTAAAGTACTGCAATGCCGGTAGATAGGATATGGGAGGCGAGTTCGGGGAGGCCGACACTTTTGTGAAGGACAAGAGGGAGGTAGTAGCAAAGGACGTTGATGCCGGTGAGCTGTTGGCTGTGGGGTTTTAGCTCAGTCTCGTGAAGAGGGACTTGCGCGATGAAGTTCCTTACCAAACTTGAAGTAGCATCCCTAACAAGAGTCTTCGGGTTGCTGGACCACCTCTGAAGATCTGCGACCAGGATGCTTGAACGGCCATTTCTTGGCGGACGGAGTCTCGAATTCCCTTGAAATCCCCCTCCACATCATGCTCGCTGAGACTGGCAAGGACGGTCTTTGCCTCAGCATCTCTCCCTCTCGCCAGCAGCCAGCGGGGAGACTCCGGTAGAATAGGTACGAGTACGAGAATGATGACGATGAAGATAAGTTGAATACCCAACGGAAAGCGCCATTGAGATTCTGTTGTAATCCTGCTAAAGGCGAGGGTGATTATGTTGGATATGACGAAGCCCATCACGTTGACCACCATCTCTTTGACGACAGCTTTGCCCTTGGCATCCTGATGGGACGTCTCAACGTGCCAGACAGGTGCTGTCGCAGTATTACCACCATTCCCTATCCCAGCGATAAACCTCCCCAAAAGCAGATGATTCATGGAATGCGCGCCTGTCTGCAGCATAATTCCACTCGTCATGATGATGGTGAAAATGATCAGCATGCGTTTTCTCCCCAGCCATTCTCCCACAACAAGTGTCAGTAAGGCGCCGGCAAAACATCCCAGATCGTAGACACTGGTGACAAAGCCCGTCAAGGATGGCGATGGATGATGGAAATACTCCTGAAACTCTTGGCCAACGATGATACCACCAAAGACTCCTTGCTCGTAGCCAAAAAGACACATGACAGTGCCCGCGGCGACGGAGATGAGAGAGTGCAGTCGAGGGGCGGTGAAGCCATACTTTGGTCGAGTCCTCGACCGTGAACCTTTGGTGGAATCAGAATCATCGAAGGAGTTTAAGCGGCGCGTGTCGTCGTCATGGTCGATGGGTTGGTAGGACATAATCGATGGACTTTACGGAGGTCGCGATAAAGAGATGTGTCTTGACGCGCGGCTTTCTCTCATGGCAGGAAAATTAGGAGGTCGACGAGAGATATATGTTTGTTTACTTGTTTACTTATTAACGCAAAGAGTGATACGGTTATAGCGAGATATAAGAGACTGGGCAGGGGTTTCGAGACGCAGGTTGATGCCAGTCTGCCAGATGCTCAGGGGACCGGGAAGACCAGGACCAAAATAGAAAGGTTCCTTGGCACGGATGATACACTAACCTAAAGTAGCAGGTCAGGTACCAAATTCTGCTAGGGCTGTCGATCTAGCTAGTCTATCTGGAGCCTAGCGTTACGCGATAAGCGATCTGTATCATGCCGACACCGCCGACTTACTTAAGGTAAGGTAACCTTCCTAAGATCCTGCTGAAATTTCTCACTGCCATACAACATAACAAGCCTCTGGACAGCATAGCTATAATCCACCACGTCCTGACCCAAAACAATGCATAAGGGACCCTTCGAAATGCCAGCTAAAATCGTTATTGTACAACGGCACAAGCTTCGGATACATTGAAGCTTCGAGCCCCAAAGAGTACACTTTCCGTGGCCGAATGCTGGATAAAGCTGGCTTTGTATCTCAGCGGCTAATATTGTCGGTAAGTAATCATACAGGAGGCTCACACTCAAGCCTGCTGCCTCCTCGACAGCTTGCTGTCTGCCTGGTAAATATCGATACTGCACGTAGAATTTTGATACCATCGTCCTTGACAAGCCGCTCTCCGTGTCTACAACACTCAGCAACGTGCTATTCCTTGCTCTGGACTTCTTCTAGCTTGTCAACCAGAAACAACACTTCACGCAACACGTTTGATCTGTGTACCACAACAGCTCACCTGCCGGACTCAACCTTCTTATTCTTGAAAAACTCGACCACCAAAAACTCGTGGTCGGAACACGCCGTCACGATGATAGGTCTGTCAATTTTCGGTCCACGAGATGACGGCTTGCCTCTTGCTCACACGTCTGCCACCTGAACTCCGTCTACAAATCTACAACTACGTCTTGATGGTCAATCCGAAAAGGTCCTGGCCGAATGTGCAACCAAGTGAAGAGTCTGGGAGAGCGATCCTTCAAACATCCCGCCAGATTTAACGACGAAGCATACCCAGTCTTGCTCTCCGCCAACACATGGGTAACCAGCCTCGCTAGAGAGGGTCATATGTGGCTGTTCGGATTAGGTCTGCAATCTCAGAATACATTGCGCAAGATCATCCTCGAGGCTGACTACGGAATCCACGCGTGGGGTTTCCAATTTGAGATCTTTAACACATTACCTAGCTGCACAGAGTTAATGCTCACTATCAGAGCGATGACTCCTATCCTTACGTTTCTCTACAGAAACGGTACGATGAAATAGATCCACGCTTTCGCCAAGGCCATTATGAATGACCCGTCTAATGAACCAAGGAATTTCGCCGCCACAGACACCTGCTGAGAAGGGTGCCGGCGCACTTGGTAGCACAGAGAGACCGGCTTTGGAAGGGACTCCTGGATCAACTCACATCGGCTTGCCCAAATAATTGCGGGATGCACTTGGGCAGGCCAGCAGCTTATACTCAGAGTACTGTACACTTGAGTCTTACCAGCGCTTGATTCCACTGCGAACATAGACTCAGCTAGAGAGGCAGCACGGTTCCCACCTCGCTGGTTGGCAAAAAAGCTAGCAAGAAGAGGGCACGGGGGAAATTTCGGATTCTTTGATTCTCAATGGGTGGGCCGGTCGAAAAGGTGGCATTTCTAAGAGCTCCCATCTTTCCGTTTTTGCCTACTTTTGTGAGTGCCAAGCCAAGGGGGGTGAGGGTTGCGGCAGGCCTGATGAAGCAATTTTTGGCGCTTGTTTGACAACGACCTATGGCCTTAGTTGAGTGTACAACCCTAACTAGATATCCACGAAACGGACAAAGAGATAGGCAACACGATGGTGTCTGTATGGATTGTTCGCGTCATTTCAGGAGCTGGCGGAATGATAGGGTCCACAAGTATGTACCTACTCAGTTCTGCCACCGTCATCCAAAGTTTCGATAGCTAAAGTAAGTAAAAAGACAATCGTGAGTGAATCGCCGGGCAGTCTTGACTAATAAAGAAGCGTTGCGATTGGCCACATCCAGACCTCAACGGCCCGAATAGATTTTGCAGCTTGTCACGCTAATGCAACTACGACATGCAGGTGTTCCTAGCGGCACCGGCGGCGCACAAGTCCTGGACACGGTCCACCCTCGAGGCCACCCTTCTACCTTTTGTCACTCTCATCTTCGCCCACTGTCAGCTTTGTAGGGGCCAGGCATGGATCTCGCATCGTCCCTTCAATTTGTCGCCGTCGCCCTCGTGTTTTACATCGTCTACGGCGCCGTCTACCGGCTGTACTTCAGCCCCATTGCATCGTTTCCCGGTCCAAAGCTTGCTGCGCTGACCTTCTGGTATGAATTCTATTACGACGTGGTCAGGCGTGGAAGATACACATGGAAGATCGCGGAGCTGCACAAGAAGTACGGACCGATTGTGCGCATCAATCCACGTGAGATCCACATCATCGACCCAGACTTCATCGATGAACTGTATGTTGGTGCGAGCAAACGGAAAACGGATTTGTGGTCCTGGACTGTAAGTTTCTTGGAGCTTCAGGCGTGATTTGCAGTGTCGCAGACTTTCCAGTCGATAGATGGGCTCATCGTCTTGGCAGGTACCTATGCTTGGAACACCAAACAGCATCCTAGCCACAGTCGACCACGATCTTCATCGTCGCCGCAGAAACGCGTACGCTACTTTCTTCTCTAAGCAATCGATCAGGAATTATAGTAGCGTCATACAGGCAGCAGTCGACAAATTATGCCTGAGACTGCGCGAGAGTTCGAAGTTCGGCAAGCCAGTGAACTTGTTGCATACATACTCCGCCATGACAGGTGACATCGTGACCGGATATTGCTTTCCTGAATCGTACGGCCTCCTCGACAAGCCAGACTATGGTGCCGAAATCTATGAGCTCTTCGCATCTACATTAGCAAACGTACACATCCTCAAGCATTTTCCATTGCTATTACCCCTCTTACTAGCCCTTCCAGAATGGCTTGTTCAATTTCTCGTGCCAGATTTTGCAACCACTTTCCGATGGCAGCGAGAATGGGTGAGGCAGATCAATGCAATCAAATCTGGAGCCGACGATGAAAAGGACAGAGCAGGGACGCCGAGCATTTTCCGGACACTCCTCGATGCAGATCTCCCTCCATATGACAAGTCGGCATCTCGTCTCATGGAAGATGCGCAGACACTGCTGGGGGGTGGCTCTGTGACGACCAGTATGGCACTTGCGCTTGCCACATACTATATTTTGTCAGATGACCATGTCTTGAGGACCCTCACAGATGAGCTGGCCACGGCCATACCCGATCCAGCCCATCCACTGCCCTTGGTGGAGTTGGAGAAGCTGGAATATCTGACTGCCACCACATTCGAGACGCTGCGCATCAGTCACGGCGTCAGTCATCGGCTGCAGCGAGTGTCGCCTGACCAGTCGCTGCGCTATCACGATTGGATCATACCCGCGGGAACCCCCGTTAGCATGACATCGGTCCATATACACAACAACGTGGATATCTTTCCCGAACCTCATCTCTTCAAGCCCGAACGTTGGCTTCCACTAGAGACGGAAGGACGTCGGCTGCAAAAATATCTCATCGCTTTCAGCAGGGGGTCGCGACAATGTTTAGGCATGAACTTGGGATCCGCTGAGCTGTACTTGGGCTTAGCTGGAGTGTTCCGAACTCTCGGACATAGTATGAGAGTTGTCGATACGGTAAAGGAGAGGGATGTGGACATCTGTCGTGACATTTTCACGCCTGCTATGAGGGAAGATACTACTGGGATTAAAGTTGTGATAGGGGAGTAGGGTTTTTGCAGATGCTGCTCAATGAAGTAGAACGATCCAAGCTTTCCAAATGAGAACTCACAGTCTCCAGACCATTGGCTCATGGATTGCCGTCATCTTCACAGATGTGGTGTTGGCTCAGCCAATCTCGCTACGTGATGTGAAAGAGATGACAGCACCGATAATATGCTAGTGGCGGTCTGTCCGAGAACCCTCCTCCCCTCCCTTTCAAATCGCAAAGTCGAAAATCATCGTCTCAGCGCATCATCAAGCCCGCCTCGTGCAGACTTCCAGAGATGCCTCGCTATGTCTGTGGTCCAAGTTTTCTTTCTGGTCACGATTCATCTTTGCGTTGCTTGGCTTTGCATAACATGTTGGCTGACAAGTATCGAGAAGGATGAGGACAAAATGAAGACACGAAACTCGACTAAACCTTTACCGACTTAGAGTCGCAGTTGGGAGACTCTAAAGACTCGACGTCGCAATTTTCATGATAGCCAAGACCTGACTCATAGATGTGGGGAACAGTTAGGTCAGTTGAGTGACTCAGCGGACACGGTAACAGCCTCTCACATCATTCCCGCGCTCCAAAGTTGCCAAAGTTGCCAAAGCTGATAAGCTGAGAACCTTTCCTTTACGGTCATCTGCCATCTTTTAACATTCACGAGATGAGGCATTTGTCAATGCCCCTTGCTGTTGTTCTTGAAACGGCGTTGGTGTTGTGGTACCCACCGTGGAGGTCTCAACAAGGCATTGGGAGGCGGTTGATGCACGCCAGCGAGCTGTTTGGAGAGATTTGCATCTTCTAATGAAAAGGGTTGCGCCAGCCACGGTGGGTTTGCAGAGAGATTCTCAACGCTCAAAGATTGGGTGAGGCTGTAAGTTAGGCGTGTGGTGAAGCCTAATCCTCCTAGAGGGAATTTGCTTCTCTAATCTTCTCAAGCAAGCCGTTGCAGCGGATACCCAGTCTTTCCCGCCTCGCGCCAGTCCAATGGGTATCGTCGGATCATTGGCTCGTCGCTACAGACAGTGTGGCTTGTCACTGGGAGGTTGTGGCAACAACAAGCGGGTTATAAGCTAAAGTCTATACATTCAGGTGCTTGCGGTCAAACTCCCTAACCAAGACACAAGTCAGTATTCTTCTCAAGTTAATGAAATCGGTGGAAGCCTTTGCTTCTCACTCTCTAACAATATCCAGTCGTCGTGGAGGAGTGGCTTTAGTACCCCACTCTTGTAGCTCCATCGTCTAGATTCTCGTCCCCGCAATGTCGCGATCAATCTGTAACTCAAATCACCGCAAGCTATAAGAGTGCCCTCCAGGTCCGTTTTAACAGCCAACCTCGTTCCTCAACAACGCTCGCTCTCTCAAGCCAAACAGCTTTTTGTTCAAGAAACACCCTCGTTCCTACTCGAAGCCCTTCTACCTCATACAAAACCACCAAAAACAATCTTCTTCGTCACAATGCAGTACACTCCTCTCTTCTTCGGCCTCGCCGCCGTCTTCGGCCTCGTGTCCGCCACTCCTCGCCCAGCCCCCGCCCGCTCCGTTGCCGGCGACACCGGCTGCGGCGTCTACGGCATCTTCTGCAACACCCCCGACACCTTCTCCCTCTGCGTCCCAACCTCCACCGGAACCGAGTACTTCTTCTTCGGCTCTGTCGCCCAAGGCACCTTCTGCGACACAAGCGAGAACCGCATCCGCGCCGACAACTTTGGCAACTGCTCCCCCGATGGCCAACTCTTCTGCGGGGCGAACGGCCTCACCTTCTTCATCTGTGACCAGGGAGGTCTGATCAGTTTCGGTCCTACCGCCGCTGGTACCGAGTGTGTCAATGGCGCGATTGTTGCTTGCGATGGCGTGTGCGGTGATGACACCGATTCGACTACCACTACCCCGGATAGCACTACGACTTCCGATACCATCTCCGATACATTCACCACACCCTCTACCACACCTACTACCACTACATCTTTCACCACCACTTCCGATACCTTCTTCAGTACATTCAGCACATCGAATACCACGTCGCCAAGCACCACCCCAGTGAGCACATCCACCGCTGTAACCACGACTCCATCGTTCAACTCCTCTTCGATTACCTCAATCACCATCCCATCCTCAACCCTCACATCTTCTAGCTCGAGCCTCTCAATCACCTCCCCATCCCTAACCCTCACATCTTCTAGTTCGACTAGCTCGTCAACCGACTCCTCGTCTTCCTCAAGCGACTCCTCGTCCTCCTCAAGCGACTCAAGCTCATCGTCCAGCTCTTCCAGCTCTTCCAGCACGAGCGTGACCGTAGTCACAAGCACCACCACTGCTACGGATGCCGGAACCACCTAGACGCAATTCTTATGGCACTGCTTGCTTTTGGCGTTGTTGAGAGAAAAGTGCTTTTTGATACGACTGGCGTCGGAGAGATGTTCGGGTTCGAGGGAGGGACACAATCAGTGGCAAGATGTATTTAATACCGGCTCAGCAGATTACATCCACTGCTCCTTGTTCTTCTCGATTGATAGGAAAGTCGACTTCTTTGCGAAACGGCTGTTTCTTCACTCGGGGTTGAACTGTCCTTTCATTTGGAGTACTGGTTTGGAATACTGGTTTGATGTGACAGTCTAGTTGTCCTTAATAGCCGTCTCAAAACTTCCTAGGGTACCAAGTTTCATTCTAAATGCTAGCCATTGCGTTTCGAAATTGACGCCTGACATTCTCCCAATTCACCCGTGATATAGGGCAATGCTCCCTTCCTACCTTCTGCTCCCAAGAGCTGCCACAGACACACCGACACAGCCCCGAGACTCACAACCCAATCCCAAACCCAATCCACCAAAACAACGCCATTCCCCAACTGCACCCTCCAACAACCCTCTCCCCTCAATAAAAGTCCACCGCAAGCACCTGATTATGACTCGCCACATCCGGCACCCCCGTCCCACCGGTGATATACGCCCTCTCCTGCCCCACCATCTTCCTCTCCCACTCAACCGCCGCCCCGTTCGGCCCCGCCATCCAGTTCCCCACCGTGCTCGCCAGCGCCACCTCCCCGCCCGGCTTCCGCGTCACGGCGGCGTGCGGCGCGTCGCGCAGGACGTCCTCGTGGAACCCGTTGCTGCGGTCGCTGCCGTCCGTCGAGGCGACCGTCGCCGCGCCGTCGCACCCTTGCTCCAGCGACACGTCCCCGTGCGCCGCCCGGTCGTTCGCGGCGCACAGTTGGAACTCCACCCACGTCGCCGGCAGGGCGGTGCCGCGCTGCACGCGGCCTTTGAAGGTCGAGGGCAGCGGGACGAAGGTGGTGGTGGCGGGGCGGACGGTGGTGGCTTTGGAGGGGTGGGTGAAGTTGCAGCCGGCGGTGCCGTTGCCGTTCCTGGGTGGGGGATATATGTCAGACTGGGGTCTTGGGAGGGACACGGTGGTGGTTTGAGGGAATTCGGTTGCTTACCAGAAGTTGTCGTAGAAGTAGTACGTGCAGGGTTTGTTGGACTTGTTGGTGAGGATTATACCGGGCCCGCCGTGGTTGTGCTCGCCGGTCGTGTGCTCGACGAGGCGCTTCTGCGTTGGGCGGTGCGCCATGTGGGCAGGGGGGCTTGGGGTCGCGTCGCCGTCGGCGTAGGTGATTAAGATGTCTTTGTCGCCGTGCGCAGCGGAGCTCTTTCGTCGCGTCAGTGCGGAAGCGCGAAGACATCGCTGGAGAGCTAGATTACCTGTGCATTGTCACTGCCAACGCCGGGACTGCCCCCCCAAGCGCCAACGCCGATGTATGTCTTGCCGTCCGCGAATCCGCGCACGAACCTCTCCAGCTGGGGGTAATCTTTGATGGCGGATATCCTCGCGACGTCGCCCTTTTCGTTCAGATGCACACACTCTTTCAGCGACGCTTTTGTACCGGCGCTCGCTCGGTGCCACGATGCGTTGAGCTGTTGCATGAAGACCGGGTCTCCTTTGCGAGTGGCGGGTTCCCCAACTTGTTGGACGGTGATGTTGCCGCCGGCGCCGACGATGTTGCTTACGTCGATAAAATCGTTGCCCATGAAACCATCCTTGGTAATCTCGGCTTGCTCACTTTCGAAACCATCGTGCACGGCGATGATTGCGCCTGAGGTTCTATCCGGAGCTGGGAAGACTGTCGTTGCTCCTGGCTTGACGTTGATGGTGTGGTTGTTGTTGAAGCCGTGGACCTCGAACATTTGGTCGTGGTCGGACTGATTGTGAACGTTGATATAATGCATGTTTTGGGATTTCGGGTACCTGAAGATCGGTGGAATAGGAGGAGTTGTTCTTGGGCGCTAACGTGTATGTTCTGCCGGCGAATGCAAGGAACAGGGAGCCTTATATCATGATCTCGATGGACAACGTGGCTTTGAGCGGATTTCGCCATCTCGTCTTCCTGATGATGATCGCACTTTAGAAACAACTGGAGTGAAAGGATTCGAGGAAGAGGCGGAGCCCTAAAGCTGAATTTCTAGGGCTGAAGACTCAGCTTACGGGGCTTCGTGTTCCGCTCAGCGGTAGCTGCAACATACATAAGCAAGTGCCCAAGCAAAGTTCAGCAGCGTAAAGAGCCTGTGAGCATGGAGAAACTCTTGCGCTGATGGGAACATGGTTTATGGAGACAAGTGCGAACGCGCAGGAGCAGCAGAATGTGACCTTTGACATGAAAACCAGAATATCAGGTTTTCCAACCCGATCTGAATAGTAAGACTCGGCTCGCGACATCTTCAAATCAATATACAAGAGACATTCGAGTCTTCCTGTGAAGATGTGGAAGATATTTTTGAATCGGAAGGATCCTGAAACGAACCAGCGGGGTAGGCGCAGCTAAAGGAATGGCCTTAAATCCTTCCATCCTCTCCTGCACAGCTCTTAGCCCACGTGGAAATGACAGATCTTGCTCCTTGTTTCATCCGAGCATGGGCAGAATTAGGCAGAATGAGGCTGATATGCTCATCCTAGCGAGCAAGTGGCACAGGTTTCGAGCAGAGCCCCAGCCATCTTCTCCATGCGATGCGCCTAGCACCGCCAGCAATTCTTTTATTAGTACAGACCGCGCGCAGAGTAGGAATACTTGAATGAACATGGAGGAGGAGGTCCTGAATGTCAGCGGAGTGAGCTGGTTTCCCATTCTCATGACGAACTCTCGTGGGGCCTTCGAAGCCTTGAGATCGGTTGCCACTCATCGAAAAGGATGAAGAAGTATCGTGATAATCTTCCATTGCAATGCGATCATGTAAGACCTGAGAACGGGGTTTTGAAAAGATGGCGGTGTATTTAGTAATGTCGCAAGTGTTTCTCAATCGTCCTCCGTCCAGTATCCTGGCAGAGGGATGCGTTGTCTCTTCTGACCGCAATCCTGATTCGAGGGACATTCTGAAGTCTCGTCCTGACCTCAGGCCACAGAGAAGGAACGAATCTATTCCTCAAGCACGACTGTAGATGTCAGCGTAGATATCACGCCTGATATCACGGATCCATTCCACAAAGATGGTAAGCGCAACGTAGCCTGAAGAAAATGAAGGAATCGGGCTGTAATCAGCTGATCCATAGCTTGCCTGAAGCTCGAGAATATAAGTATTCCGTCGCAATTGCTGAAAGCTTCTCATTGAAATTGCCAGCCACTTTCCCAGACTCCTCTTTTTGTTAGATCTCTTCGACATACACCAGATCCCAAGACATCCAATCAACTGCACATCAGTACCCCAGCCTATCGCACCGGTGAGCATCTTTCAGCTCAAATATCGCATCCGGATCCTCGCGCAAGATGGCTCAAAAAAGGTGCCTCCTCTGGGACTACACCAACACCAACAACTGCCCCGGCCAAATGGACCAAGTCAACTTCAACGGCCCCATGCACTCCGTCAGCAACTGGAATGCCTGGACGCCGCCCGAGCTCAAAGGCCGCGCGCCATTCCGCCCCATGATTCACGACGCCGGCAAGCTCTCCGGCACCGACTGGGCCATCATCCAAGCGACCCAAAACAGCATTATCCACTTCTTCAACGAGCCCGAGCGCAACGGCATCTCAACGCAGCAAGCCGCAGACGCCTGGAACAGCCAGCTTCTGCCGCTCAAGAACCAGAACAACAAGCTCGTCAGCCCCTCCTGCGCCGGCGACGACGCAGGCCATGCTTGGATCGCGGATTTCATGTCAAAGGTCGCCGCTAACCCGCCCGACTTCCTCGGCATCCACTACTACGGCGCTGATGGCAACGCTGCGATTCAAGAGATCCAGAACATGCACGCTTTGTACCCCAACCAACCCATCATCGTGTCCGAGATCGCTTCCACCGCGCAAGATCTACCATCCGTGGTTGGGTTCACGGTCCAGGTTGCGAATTTCATGGACAGCACTGACTATGTTTTCGAGTATGGCTTTTTTGGCTGCATGGAGCATCTTGCGGATAATTTTGTCAGCCCCGCGGCGCAGTTGATGAATCCGGATGGGTCGTTTACGGATTTGATGTTGAAATTGATGTGGGATCAGCCGATGCATACGTGAGGGAAGTATGCAGAAGGGGAGCTTGGTGGTTGAAGGAGCGGGCTCTTTGCTTCCTATATTCAGAAATTATTTAGCCTTTACTCATTTTTTGTATTTGTATGTATTCTTGGAATCCAGTGCCATGGAAGTGGAACCATTGTCCCGATGAGGAATATGGAACCTATGTGGCGGTATCAGCACACCTGAGCAAGCTTTGTGAAGAAGGGCAGGAATAGCGACACCTTGGGGCAAAGCGCTGAGTGGACGGGAGTTTGCTTTTTCTCTCCGAAGGCTTCGAATAGTCAGTGCAACAGGTTGAATATCACTCCCAAGCTTAGTGCCATTCGCTACGAACCCATCAGCTGCGGACCCAGCATCATTCACGGCTGTCGAATTGACCGAAACACGTACAAAAGTCCTCCATAGCATGCATGGTCTATCTATCTGCGTTGAATCTGAGCATGCTGAAAACGACGGAGCCCTTGCGAGATCATCACGGGATACAGGACGGTTTAGATTACCGAAGAGAAAGCTTGCTCGAAGCGACGCAAGCGACTATCTGGGTACTATACTCCGATATACTGTATTCGGTGTTGGCTGGAGTGGTGGATGGTGACTGCCTCGTTGGGAATTTCGTCGTAAATAAATTATTGAGAAGCGCACCCTGGTGTTCAGCCAACTTTCAAGCACTTGCTAGTGAAGTCGAATGAAGATAAAGACTTACTTCCTAGGCAAACTCACGCATATAAGTTGAAGTATATTCTCGACTGCTTACCTTTCCATTTCGTAATGTTCATAGGGCTTCTTGTGTTTACATTAATCCATAGTCTTAGCCCACCTCTGGCCCCAAAAACATCGTAGATTGGGCTCACTACGTTTCGCTGCCAAGAATCTGTCCCGCCTACGTTTGGCACCGGTATGTTGCTACCTAAAAAAAAGACTTCCTCCTACGAATCATCGTTGTAGCGGTAAGAGAAGGGATGATGCTGTCTCCGAAGTTTTGCCTCACAGGACGCTGGGCGATCTTCAGTATGAGCTACAAACCAGTGACCAGGACTGCCGAACTTTAATACATATTTCACACAAAGAAGGAAGCCCCTTGGCCATGGGTATAACATACCACGCATGCGTCCCATAGCCAGAAGCCAGGTAGAAATCGCTCGCAGTCGCCAAACCTTGTTTCTTGCGTGGATTGAAGCCTAGTCGGTCAGGGTCTCCTTGTTGGCCGCATCGAGCGTGTCCTAGTGCCTTTTAGCAAAGCGGAAGGGATGATATCCGTCGGGTGTGCGGTAGAAGCGATCATTGTGGTGTAAGTCGAAAGCATTGACGCTAATCCACGCGCCCATGGGGATATGATGTCCGCTTGGCAATGGGACTCCATCCTCCGGCATGACTTCGGGGTGGATGAAGTGTGGGAGCATGAGATTCCTACGGAGGCTCTCGCGGATGGTGCTGTCAGCAGGCGAGAGCTTAGGGAGGGTGGCGGGATCATTTCAATCATCGACTGTTTGGAAGACTCTGGCGGCCTCGTCCCGGGGCTGCTCCCAGAACCTGGCGTCGGGATTGGAGCTCACGAGGTCGAGCACTGTGTTGGTAGCCGAGAAGAAGGAAACAATGATACCAATGAACGGAGAGCAAGGGGATCAGCAGAAGTCGGAGGAGAAGGAAAGTTTTTTACAACTAAACGGAGAGCAAGGGGGAATGTGAGCGCTGTTGATTGGCTTTGTGATCGGAATTTGGATCAAACGTACTGCATGCTGGGGCTTCGTGCGTGTGGTTAGTGTTGCATAAAGTTGTGAGGTCCATCCAGATCACAACATTGCATGCTAGAGTATCGTAGCGTGACCTTGAATTAGGAATTCAACTTCTTGAATCACCTCTCAGCTCTTTCATCGTGATGATGGTCTGACATCCTAATTCGGGAGACTGCCCATGGCTACTAGTTTCATGCGCTGGCTGTATCTCCGACGGAGCTGACGTTTCTGATCTCCGATCTCAAGCTTCTTTGATACGCAGATTCTCCCTTATGATCGCTACGTCCTCGTTGCTGAAGCCGCATTGCGTCTTTAGATACCCTTCCGCACCGTCATGAGCGTCTCGTAAAACATCGAGCATTTCACTCAGTGCATCGAGCCTAAAACAAAACGGATGAGCTGCTCCTTTCATACAGCACGACTTGCTTGCAGTCTTTCCGCTCACCTCAGTCCTAGAAGACTTGTTACTTGCTGATCCGTCCACTCCGAGCCCGACTTCTCGGTCAGATAGCGAACGACGGATTCTTTCATGGGCTTCAACCCCTCTTCTGAAAGTCGGTACTCTTGTTGTATCGTCGAGGTCTCCACTCCTGCGGTGGCCAGGATTAGAGCGATAGCGACGCCTGTCCGGTCTTTACCCGCGGAGCAGTGGATGAGGCAATTTTGGTCGGAGTGGTCTCGTATGTGCGTGAAGATGGTTCCGAAGGCATCTTTTCCGTTGTCGAGATATTCCACATATGCCCCTCTTGAATCCTGTTGTTCTTGGGGTCAGCTTTAATGTAAGTCAATCCCATAACGACATCTTCGTAAGCTTACTTGACGGTTCGCCGATGTATAATTCTGAAGGTTCTCTACGCTCTGATGGGCGGGATATTCGCCGTGGACGTACACCGGCACGTGTACTCTCCTGATGCCCGGGATCTCGGCTGTCGGCGCGAAATCTTTGGTTCTTTCGATCTCGGTGGCGGAGCGCAGATCGAAGATGGTGGTGATGTCCAAGTCTCGGATTTGTTGCACTCCATTGGATGTTGCCCTGCCTGGGTTGGCGCATCGGAAGATGAAGCGGCGCCGGACTGAGTAGAGCGGGTCGAAAGCGATTGCGTAGCCGCCAGCATCACGGAAATTGAAGATGCCTTCGATATGGGTGAAAGGATTTTTGGAGAAATTCATTGTTCGACTTTTGTGAGGTGCTATTCCACAATAGAGATCTGGAGGGAGAGGCGACGCAATCAGTCAAGGATCAATGCTTGAAAAACGCGGAGTCTTCGATGCAGCTATCCTTTAGCTTTATTCTTCATCTTTCTTCGGTAGTTTGGCGCGGACCGGCACCTTCGAGCAACTCTGCATTGCCTCCACGTGTTGTATTTTCTTCTTCGCATTCGATCTAGCCAGGGTTTGCTCAATTTCACATCTCCAATTCCGCGCAATGCACGCTCGCTAGACGTAGTGTCTAATAGACTGAGAATCAAATGGTATTAACCCACAGAATACCCACAGGATTTCAAAAACATGAGCAGCAGCAAGGCAATTTGGAGCGACTTACTTGCTCCTTGATCACAAAGCCAGTGGTCGACTAGAAGCTTTGACGCTAAGGCCCTCTCCAGAGTCGAGGCAGTTGTCAGACTCCACACCGTCGGTACCTGGTAGAGTGCGAACTCGAAGAACTCCCTGCCAACGCAGATTGTTACAGATGGTGACGAACGGCTCGCTGGCTGCAAGTGATGTGGCGTAGTTACCCACAGACATCCGACGCTACTGCGCAGGCCGCCAGACACGCAGGGTAGAATGGATCTAATGCATGCCTTATCGTAGCAACTCTGGAGCCTGGCACCAGTAAAACGCTTGTTGTCGTACTGAATGATCTTTTCATGCGGCCTTGTAGGATTCAACATCCATCGTCTCGAGAGCCTGAGGGAACGGGATAATGCCAAGCCTTGAGCGTTGCCTATTTCAGTAGCGCGTCGGCTATTCTTCGGCCATCTCGCCCTATCAATCTTGCTTTGGAACATCCTTTGGATCCTGACTGTCGTGTTCAATCCTTCGAATCCTTCTTCTGACCATCAAGAACACTCAATCTAGCTCTGATCTACGCCCTATCATCGGTTAGAAACACTCTCACTTCAGCTAAGGCGATTTCTAAGCTTGGTCTTCCCAATGACAGATGTTAGAAATCCTTCGTCTCCAAGACTTAAGCTTAGTGCTGACTCTTGGTAGTCTTGACATATGCTTCATCTCAGAGACATAGGACAACCCTATTAATGCGTACCACCGGGATCTTTTCGTCTGTGACGGCCCTCGAAGGATCACTGGCCTCGCAACTTGTACTACCGTACGATGGTCTACGACGAGGTTAGTATTGGTAGCCACCTACCTCCACTGCTCAATCTAAAGCGCTCAGCGTATGATAAGTCAACAACTTTCAAGAACAAAGAGAATGTCACTCCCTGTATAGTGCGAGATACAAGCGGCATGAAGGGCGCTAAATGTAACACCCTGATGCAGCTGCTCCTCCAAACTGCATTCATGCAACGGCATGCCGAAATCATGAGCGGAGTAACAGGGACAGCTAGACCACCAGCATTGACTCTCGGCCTTATCAGCATAGTAGCTGCTTGGTAGCTCAAGTGCCTCGCTCCAATGACATGCAGGAAACGCTTGTCGTTCGGCTACTTGCAGTGCCCAGCTTGGGGCGCCCTGTCATTTCCGGTTTCTGCCATCCCTCTGGTTTTCGGCCGTAACCCTTTCTTATGAACAGGATTCGCGACTCAGGACTTCTTTCGGTTCTCATGAGCCTTGACATTTGCGCAACTTGAAGTCATCCTTAGCTGCCCTTGAGATTTCCTCCATATGTTGGGTAGTCCCAGCAGAGATTCGGTTTGGCGCGCTCCTGCTAGCCCCCTCTTATAACAGGTCACCTACTCCTCACATCCTACAAGTCCGGCCCGAAGACTACACGACAAATTGCAACGGCAACCTCTTTCAAAATTTTCTTACAGCTGCTCGGACATCATGAGCGGACGGCATCTTCATGGATCAACTGGCTTCAGGCCAACGCTGTTGCAAAACATACAGAGCAGCCTCGGGTTCGGATGGTACAGCATGGATAAGTCCAAGTCATCCCTCGCTCAAAGGTGGCTATCAAGTTCACATTCGCTCTCAGAAGACCTTCGCTAATCTCAACACGGTTCAGTAAACCCACATTATCCATAAAGCACCCGAACTTCTGTTCCTGACCCTGATGCAGTGCCAGTATCCTCAGACATCCCTACCATCTTTCCAGATTCTCCTCCGGAATCTCGGTCACACTCTCAATCCACTAAAGCCGCAGCAACATCCGTCTCCACCGTCCAGGGAAATCCGCTCTCATACTCACCGCCTCACCTGGATACATTCAAGTGGTTTGACAATGTCCTCTTCGAGCTGAACAGTGTCTTCCTGTCGTCTCCCGACGGTTCGGAGGTTGACAAGCGCACCAAGGGAATACGATACGATGTCATCACGTCTTTGGCTTGGTCCAAATTTGAAAAAGGCCTCATCGCCGTCGAAGAGTGCCAAGCGCAGATCTCTGCGAAGTTAGATTTATCGGAAGCCGAGGTTGCAGACGCAGTCGACTCAGCAATGTTATGGCGTATATCACCAGAGATGCTGGCTCTAGCAATGGAGCTTCGAAGCACGCACAGCATCTACGCCGTCGGGAATCTACCGCAGCCCGTTTTTGACAGACTCAAAACACTCCATGAACCTTTAGATCTTTTCAACGATATCTTCATTTCCAGCAATCTGAACGAACGTTTACCACATCCCGCGATACTGAAGAAAGCCCTGAATGCTGCTGATTTAGACCCCGAAAGGACTCTCTACATCGGCAGCCACATCGACAACGTGATCACTGCGCGTTCTTTCGGTTTCTACGGTATCACATGTGGCGACCCCCTCGAGTGCATCGCGCACGCTCTCCAACTTTGCCGTGAGCCCATCGCTAAAGCGAAAGCCTGGCTGAAGAGCGAGGCCGGCAAGCTCGATCTAGAAACAAGTCTCGGGATCACCGTCAAGGATGCCTATATGCAATATTGCATCTTGGACGCCACAGATGATAAGTCCCTCATCTACTACGATCCGGACCAACGTCTTTTTAGCTGGTACTATGGCCCTATACCCAGTGGTCTCAAGGAATTTCCGCCAGATGTCGACTGCAACTCTTTGGCCTACTCGGTCTTCGACCACCTTGATGATGGCGCAAGACAAGGTGTGATGGATCAAATGCTTCAATACGTGGACTCAGAAGGAATCTTGCAAGGCTACCTCTCCGACGACAAAGTCCGCGTCGATATTCTAATGTGCGTCAACGGTCTCGCACTCTTCAATGAATACGGTCGCGGTCACCAGCTTGCCGCAACTGAAGAGTGGATCTTCAAGGTGTTGGACACCCGCGCTTTCAGAGATGGAACGCACTACTACCCTTCCCCGGACGTCTTCCTCTACTACGTCTCGCGTCTACTACGAAAGGCTCCTAATCTCCGCCAGCGCTTTGGACATGTGCTGCGAGATTGTGTGCTAGAGAGGACGGAGGCCGGTGGCGATGCGCTGGCGCTTGCTTCTAGGCTGATTGCCGCGGCGAGATGCGGAGTGAGGAATGATCGCAATATGGAGAGGTTGCTTGCGCTGCAGAGAGAAGATGGGAGCTGGGAGGCTGGGGTTGTATACCAATTCACCCGGGTATCTGGCGTGGCGTGGCATCAGGGATTGACTGTTTCTCTGGCTGTTCTGGCGATTGAGGAGTGGGATTATCTGCGTCGGGGATGAGCTGATGCGAGTGGTAGGGGCCTAACAGGGATCTAGTTACGGTAGTGATCAGTCTCCTTAGCGTAGGGGTGGAAAGCCGATTCAAGACACCATCTTCCATGGGGTTCATGCCCTGAAAGGAGAGCACAACTGTAGTACGGTCAGTGGCTTTTGCTTTGAACATGGAATTGCGGATGGGTTTAATGCCTCAAGAACAATGTTAGACTCGGGTATTTACGGCCCTTTCAAATCAAACGTCCGGATCAAGAACCTTCTCGACTTGTCAAGCGCACCCTTATCTCCATTCAAATCGTTCTTGACTTCATGCTTAGGTCTCAAGCCAAAAGGGCCCCTTTTTCCCCAATCGAAACCAGAGGCATCGTGGCAATCGAAGGCGTTCCACCAATTCGACAGTCACTGTGTATGGTCAAGGAGCCCAAGTCCTGCTAAGCTGCTCGGGTCCCCTCTTACGGCTTTTCCCTTACATAAACCTTTTCTTCCCACTTTAGAGCCCGCAGCTTCGAATTGAGAGGCTCCAGATGAACGTGGGTTTGAGCTAGGCGGCGGCGTAGATCCAACCTTTAGTAATGTTGGATCATGTGGATCACGCATTGGAGAGAGAACCCTTGAAGAAGAGTAGATCGTTGTTCACTCCAACAATCTCAGGGACGTATGGTATAGAGATCCTTCAAGCAAACCCCTCGTCCATATCATCAAAGTAATACCTGATTGGTACGATGTTCTGACCACATGCCCTATCGACCTCCAATCGCACCATCACGTCAAGTCCTTTCCATCGTTCTATTTGATGCCGCTTTCGGGACCAGGCGCCATGAACAGGGCAAACACTCCGGGCTCCCATCCAGCGTCACCCGGCCTTACAAAAGATCGGGTTCTGCCATATCGAAATCGTGCGGCCAGGTAAGGATCTGTGGATTCTCTGAGACTTCGATCTCTTCTCGGACAGTTTTTAAGAGAAATGGGAAAATGGAAAGACATAAGCGTACCTTCGCGAGAGGAGACTCGGTCTTTTCCTCTCCGATCTCGGCGTATAGTTATTCTACGCAGCGAGCCACCCAATGTAAAGCAGCTTTGTCCAGAAGGGCAGTACGATTTGTTTGCCCCGCTGCAACAGTTGGGGGAAAACTGATGAAAACAGAATAAACAGCAAACGTGCAGCAGAGTTTGCGTACCTCATAAGTACTTATAGATTTTATAACTTGCTCGCTCACACTGGACTATTCCTCCTAAAAGCACTCTTCGCAAAATGCCTTCAACAGGCTTCCTCCGACTATTACCGGAGCTGCGCAACACGGTCTACCAGCACATCTATATCAGAGCAAGGCGCTACGTGTCTGGTCGAGACTGGTCTAGCGCCACCTACGGCAATGGGCTATTCTTCACATGTCGACAGATCTACCAGGAAACCATCCATCAGTACCATTCCTTCGACTTCGTCTTCCTGACCGGTTCCACAACGGACTACAGCTGGCTTGATAAGATAGGCTCGGAGGTCAGGAACAAGCTGTTAAATGCAGCGGTCGACACGGAGTCTTTTGGGGTTGAGCCAAGAATGTTTTTCTATATGTTGTCACGATGTGAACAGCTCTCGCGGAAGATAGGTATCCGCCTAAGCCGTCTCATTTCCATGTGGCAGAACGGTGCCTTTGAGTCCATGCATGGCTTTCATTGGGCTAGAGCTATTGCTTCACCCCCCGTCCGGGTGGAAGTACGTGTGGGAAGCACATGGGTGAATGGCATCTTGAGTTTCCGCTAGGTAGGCGTAGAGAAATCGAGAAAGAGCGAGCGGGCTATGATAGCGAGGTGGTAAAGTTGCTGCCGCATATGAGAGGCCAGTGTCCGATGAATTGCAGGTTGCATGTTGGGAGAGCAGGGAGATGCACGCAGGCTAGCGTTCATGTCATCTGTGATTCGAAATGTGCTTTTGGTATCTGATGGCCTTGATGCCAGATTCAAGGCGGTTCACCGGGCCCGAGCGTCGTTTATTGAGCTGAAATCAGGTTTTCAAAGTGGTATTAATAACGCAGCGCTTGAACTTGCAGACGTTTACGCTGCGACGCCGCTTTCACGTGTATTTATGATCCTATTAACCTCGGCGATCTTCATTTTGTACTATTCGCTGGATTTTCAGCCGCAGCGAGAGCAGATTTGACCTGATTGATGACAGCTCGAAAAAAGCTGGACTTGTCAGCTTCGTCGTAAATGATTTGCTGTAGCCTTGCCTGGGCCCGGAGTAAATATTGGGTAGTATCATTGCCATCGTGGAGACGGTCGAGCTTTTGTGTCAGATCTCTTGCTTCCATCAACCGTGTCCAGTAAGCATCGATGTTGGCTTGGTAACTCGTTTTCTCCAGCGGGATCTGAAGTTCATGCGGGGCCCGCTCTAATCTATCCAACCATCTCTGCACCGCCCCAAATTTGTGCTTCTTCAGGCCGCAGAAGTGAATCAACATGTCCCCATCCTGCACCCGAGGCAAATGGTTATGGGAGTATTCAATGCCGTTGAACCACTCAACCGGCTGGTATAAGACGTGCTCGCGGTAGCCGACTCGTTTGAACACCCACTTGAATGCTGTCTGTTCTGCGTTGTGATCAATTTCCACGTCCGTTCGTAGGTCTGGGAGCGCAGCGACCTCGGTCAGCATCTTTACGCTCCATTCATTTATGCGGACGAAGAAGACGCCGGCGTTGAAGCCGCTTCCGAATCCCCAGTCTCGGCCGCCGAGAAAATGGATGTCGGAGAAGTCGGATGGGGGCAGGAAGAGGGTCCAGGGGATGTTTGGGTTCAAAAGGATCGTGTCTGAATCGAAGAATCTAGCTGGCGAGTCAGCTTCAGGATTAAATCGAATGAGTCTCGAATTGATTCTTACACGAGCCATTCTGCGCGCTCATCCGTCGGCTTGGCCATCTCAGCAACTGCAAGGGATAGCATGTATAGCGGCTTGCTAAAGACCAACTCCATCCACTCTCCTTTTCCCCTCACGTCTTCACGCAGTACATGGGTTGGGTATCCCCATCTTTTGCCGTATTCGATATGAGTAGCCATGCACCGTTCGTCAAGGGCATCGTTTGTTTCATTTGTCGCGTTGTAGACGCGCATGCTGACCTGTCGAATCTTGGGTCGTAAGACATCTGGTAAGAGAGGGTCGATCGCAGATGTGTTTGTGTTCAAGGCACTCGGGGCACTCGGAGGCGTTTCTGAAGAGACATTTGCGAAAAATTGACTTTTGTGTGCTAAATAGAGGACTTGAGGTCGGAAAATGCAAAATTGAAAGAATGCGAGGAAGGACAGTGCAACGAGTGCTACATTTGGCGGTGGTGAGAACATTTTTCCGCGAGTAGGCACTTCAACCAGATTTGTACGAACGTGAAAGGAGCGCATGGAGATGGTGAAGATGTCATTTAGCTGCTGTGCTCCAATTCCGGCGGCGCTCAGCACTAGCGAGATTAACATTCCACCGTGTGGAATGCAGGTAGATCTCCGCCATTTGCGAGACACAGAAGTCCAACATGTCTATACCTTCCGTCTTGGACATGGCAATTCAAAGGTACCAGCTCTCGCTCAGCTCTCGCTCAAGGCCAGCAAACAGGCTAGGAAAGTGATGAGCTGTCAGCAGGGGAAACGGGCAGTCAGCATACAGACGAGGGCGATGACTATTGCATATTGTTGTATGGTGGCAAGGTAATACTTCCGGTTCCGTAACATAAAGGGTGATGCTGAGATTAGAAGGGAGCGGCTACTTCAGCCACTCAACCCTACAGCCTTAACGATCTTCACGAGGCTAGCATACACTGGGTTAGACTCTGTCTTAGCGTCATCCCAAGTCAAGGATTTTAGGTGTGCAAAGGTTCACAAACTCAACTGGATATAACGTCTTCAAACAATCAACTACAGATGAGACTTTGAAGATGGTGGAGAGTGATTCAACAGTCGCAAATTAGAAAACAATCGCCTCGATCGAGCATCGATGTGAAGACCGTGAAGGATCTATACGTTACAAGTACGAGCAGTCCTATCTAGCTATTAGCGGAGTCCAGTCCTTTTTCGGTACCTGCTGTATCGTATCAACACCTTCTCTTCTCTAGCATGCCTTCAAGCCTGTTATAACACAATGGATCGCGGTTGGGAGCAAATTACTAATTCATAGCCCGAAAGTACGAATCCCTACGGGTTCATACCCCTAATTGCCGAATCATACCTCATCTTTTGGTAGGATTTGGTGTAGGGGTATGATTCGGTGATTTGCCCGTTGGTGGCAGACGTCGTACGCACAGGTCGCATAGGGATTGTAAACCTTCCCAATGAGACCGTCTTCAATATCGCAGCAAGATGGAGAGACACGGAAGCTTCGCCTCAAGAATTACGTATAGAAGATCACTTGGTCGGAAATAGTTGTGCGTTTCTGGACAATGAGGAACATATCTATCAGCGCCTAGGCCACCATTCTGGCATTGTTAGGTGAATTGAAATCTCGAACGAAGGCATTGAAATCGCGTTGATGAGATAGTGATCGCTTCGTAGCTGCTTCGAAACACAGCAGCCCCCGTCCCGTCTTATTGCCGGATGGATCCTAAAGCTAGCGAGAACGATCGAATACATACACTCCAAAACAGTGATCATATCCGACATTGCTTCCGAAAACACCCTGCAAGATGACGATTTGGCTACTAAAATTTGCGACTTCAGTTATCCGGTCGCCATGCCTCTCGATGCTGATGTGAGCCAAGCCGAAGACCTCGGTCTACGTAGACATACCGACATCTTTCAATTTCGCTCACTCGCGGCTTCGGAGAGCAAGACTTCGTCTCTCGTCACCTTGTTGGTTGTTCTCTATAGAATTTCTGCTAGGACGGGAGTTTGGCTTTCTATGTGTTGTTTTGGTAGTTGCGTGAGTCTCGATATTACATGGTGAATAATGAAGGAACGAGATAAGTACACCAGGTCAAGAAATCGGAAGGGGCTGGAAGGAAGATGATGGCGGTGACGGGAAACTACAACATGGACAAGCCGCACCACAGGTTGATTGCTGCTGGCCTCGAGAAGCAGGAGCTCAGTTTCTGCTTGGTGCATCCCAAGAAGACTACTACTACCCAGAAGATATCGGGGTTCTCGAGTTTCGAGTCTCGACGATTGATATTGAACTGATGGCTCTTGACTATTATGGTATGAGAATATATGGCTACGTATCAAAGGCTTTTACATTATCATCACCTTTTCTGCTTTCAAAGGCTTTCCGTCGTCATTGTCAAAGAAGTTTGAAGCCACCTTTATGACTGAGGGGGCATTTCATTACATTCACTCGGTGTTGACCTCAGCTCATGCTACTACATCCCCTCATGCAGGACCAACCTGTTGCTCCCACTCCGGCCAATGCATCAGCACTGCCTCCGACCCCGTCAACGTCACCTGAGTGGCCGCATCCCCCTCATTGTTCAGCGCTAGTTGATAACTACCAGGATACAGCACCGCATCCCCATTATCGGCGTATCGCGCCATGCTGCCGATACTGACCGGAATAGTCAGCGTGCTGCTCGCACCCGGCGCGATGCTGGCTAGGCGCTCGAAGCCAACGACCCACTTGTTGGGATAGGGTGCCGGTCCTGCATTGGTGGTGTTGGCGAAGAGGATGGCGGAGTAGTCGGAGGCGACCGAGCCGGTGTTCGTGACGGTCACGGTGTAGTTGATGAAGGGCATGAGGTCCGTGTAGGCGTAGCCGGGATGCGCGGCCGAGGTCAGATCGGATGTGCTGAATGTTGTGGAGGCGTTGGAGGAGGAGGCGGAGATGCTGAAGTTGGTGTAGAAGAGTCCGGTGCCGAATTCGTAGACTGGTTCGCCTGTGTACCATTTGTAGGTCTGGCCTGGATTGCTACCATTCGGGCGCAGGTTCATGTCATCTTGGGAGAACTGAAGGGCATATTCAGCTGGGTATTGCGTGGTGATAAGGCGGCCGGCCGGTGCCCGAGCGCCGGTAAGAATGTCGAGAATGGCTTGACCGCCTGATTGGCCTGGGTAGCCGCCCCAGACGAGGGCGTTGACGTTGGGATTGCTCTTCAGGGATGAGGAGTCGATTTGACCACCACCCATTTGGAGGACTACGACAGGTTTGCCCATTGAGCTGAGCTGGGAGATGAGATCTAGTTGGTTGCCGGGCCAAGAGATGTTCATGCGATCTGAGCCTTCGGCTTCGACTGTGTTGTCGATACCGCCAGCGAAGATGATGACGTCGGACATCTTGGCTGCAGCCATGGCGCCGGCGAAGTATTCGGTTGAGTTCGACGAGATGTTGGTGCCAAAGGCGTAGTTGACTTTGAGACTGGACGCCTCAGCAGCGGCGAGAGGGCTGAGGAGGTAAGGCGGTGTGCCAAAGTAGTTGCCTTGCATTTGCACGGTTGCGTTAGCCCAGGGACCAATGAGAGCGATACTGCTCGTAGATTTGGATAATGGTAGGGTGCCATCGTTCTTGAGTAGGGTGATGCCTTCGACTGCAGCTTCGTAGGAGATGTTTTGCGCATCGGTGGACACAACGTCGTTCCAGGTGAGTTGACGGTACTCGCTGCCATTGCCGTCGAAGTACCCGAGACGAACAAGATTGGAGTACAGGCGTCTCACACCCAACTCAATTTCCTCACGAGTGATCTCTCCAGCAATGATGGATTCATTCAGATGATACTGGTAGGTTGTGCCACAGTCGATGTCGGCGCCAGCTCGGACGGAGTCAGCCGCAGCACTGGATGTGTTCAAAGCATACATGTGGGGATCATAAATGTTGTACGCAGCATCGCAGTCTGTGGAGACATAGCCGTCGGTAGTATCGAACGTCCAGGAATCGCGGAGAAGAGTCTGCAAGAAGAAAGAATTGGCGCAACTTGGGACGCCGTTGACTGCATTGTAGGAGCACATGACACTGTTGACTTTTGCATCCCTTGAGGCGGTCAGAAATTGTGGCGTCTGGAAACTCTGAGTCAGCAACGCACTCTCAAAGCAAAGCCCTGGGCCAACTGATAGAAATGTAACATGTCTTGCCACTTTCCCTTTTCAGGAGACATGTCTAAGAGAATCACTTACGTAGAATTCGGCAAGGTCTTGCTGAGTAATGATTGCATCATATCCAAGGCGGGATCGGTTGTCATAGTTCTCCAAGTCATAACCGGCAAAGTGTTTTGCTGTAGCAACGATCTTGAGGTGCTCTGGTTCAACACCGCCTTGCATCCCCGTGATGTACTCGTAGGCATACTGAGAGACTACGAAGAGATCTTCACCAGGTGTCTCTTGCCCACGGCCCCACAATGGGCTACGGAACGCGTTGATGTTGGGGGCATAACTGTCAAGACCGTATCTTCCCGCATTGCTGAAGGCACGAGCTTGCGTAGAGATCAAGGTCCCAATTTGATTGATCAGTGTGCGGTTCATGGATGCCATAGATAGGATTGGCATGGGGAAGGAGGTCGCCCATTCGTATTGGTCGCCGGTTTTGGCGAAGTTTGCACGGTCCAATCCATGAAGAGCTTCGTTCCAGACCTGGTAATTGGGAAGGCCAAGCCTAGGAACACCTGGGGCTGTATTGCCGGTCTGGTTAATCAGCTCCTCCAGGGTAAACAGGGAGATGAGGGAAGAAGCGCGGTCCATATAGCTGGCAGATAGGTTGCATATGGTGTAGGTGCTGAGAGGTCCGCTTGTGCAATCAGGGAAGGATAGATTGAGGGTCTCGACGGTCTGAGGTGTCAAGTCAGGCTGTGCCTGGGAGCTGTAGTTGCTTTCGCCATACGGAAGGTCCTGCGCGAAACTCGCCGACGCCAAGAAAGAGGTGATGAGGATGATTGAAATTGCAAGCATCTTGAGAGCTCGGATGAATTTACGGAAGGACGTGACGACGAAACCGACACATCAGTCGGCATTATGCTGGTCTTTATACTCCCTCGGTGAGGCTATGAGAAAAAGGAGGAAAGCCGTTGCTGCCCTGGTCGATTCCCTTGTAACCCCGCTTCCATGTCCGGCGACTGTACCATTGCTCAAAGCCACGGCTATGAGATGAAGAAAGGTTGTGAATGGTGCCAAGGCAAGCTCCGGGTAAACATGGGGAATTCCTTGGTATCCCCGCAAACAACCCCGCAAAAACACAATATATTCGTTCCTGGATATATGACGAAAGGAATACTTTTATGCTTTTATGCTTTTATGCTTTATTATAGACCCCCCCACCCAGGATCAACAAAACAGCCACCCCAGCCAAACCAATAGTACGAAGCAAACACCACACCCTAACCCCAAAACTCACACAAACCCTCAATAAGAAAACCATTTACAACCCCCCCCAACCCAAATCCCGTGAATATTTCAATAAAGGAACAAAAACATGAAAAAAGAAAGCCCCAACAAGCATGTGTAACTCTTCTTTCCAAAGGGGCTGTGTGGAACGATTTCAAAGAAAATACCTTATTATATAAAACTAAAAAAATGTAGGCGGTTATCTATAGATGCGGGGAAAGGGAAAGACCAATTGCCTAGCCTTGCGGGATCAGCCGTTTAGCCTGAATGCGTCTTGCCAATGACACTAAAGATATACTAAGGTACCTTGGTCCTGATTCTCGGCAGATGTAATTCATCAGCATCCGATCCGCTTCCATGTGCGCTATGACTTGCCTCCGATGCTTTACTACACGGCTCCCTTGACAATCAGCCTGTTCCTAGGCCTCACAAGCTCCATCTTAGAGTGCACAGCCGTAGAAAGGGTCTGGGATATATGTCATAGACTTACTCCTTACCACTTGCGAGTCTGCACTTAGTCAAGCTCTCGCCGACGAGATCACTGCCCACCTCCCAATTTTTCTTGGGACGAGGGCGGGCCAAGGCTTGAGGGGAAGCCGAAAAGCGTCTAGTGGGAGTCGAAGACGAAGTTACGCAAGTGCAAGTGGAATTGCTCATATGCTGAATGTCGAGATAATGCTTAATAAAGGTTAGCTCGCGAAGTTGCATCGTTTGCGACTGCCTGCAATATTGCGTTGCGCTCCAAACGCTAAGCATTGTACGCCAACTCCGGCCAGGCAAGCAGCGGATGGTCCTCCAAACTGGTCCAAAACTCCATGTCAAGATTGTTACTCAGCCACATTTGATCATCCAATGCCTCTTCCGTGAGCGTGTCCAAAGCAGCGGCGGGCTCGGCATCTTCAATTTCACCCTAGCTGTGTTCGGGCGATAGTACTGTACCCAGTATCGCTTGGAGCATCTCCATGGCTGGGTCGCAAATGACAAAGTTTCCATTGGTTGGGCGAACGATGAAATCAATGGACGAGATTGAATTGCTCAGGCTCTGGATGATTTTCGAGCGTGGAAAGTCAGGACTTGCCGGCAGCTTGCGGCGCGAGTGATGCAAAAGCTCGAGCGCAAGGACTCCTGCCGGTGGAAGTGCATGTAATGCGATCGATACAGCATAAGCCATCTCCTGACACCGATATTACCTCACGAGTAGTTACCAGCCAAGGCAAATCACTGGAGTACCATCCTTGACGGTGGCGATTGCCAGTCAATGTGAGTATGCTCGACAGTAGAGATCTTGAAATAGTGACAAGCTCAGCCGGTGGGACCCACGATCGTTTTATTAGTTTTCTTTGTAATAAAAACCGTCGTAGACAAAATCGAATTGTTTGGAGAGCTGGAAAAAGTTTTCAGATATTGGGCGCTCCAATACCCAGCGATCTGGTCGATCTCTGAGCGATCTCTGAGCTTCGAAGGTAGGAAGTGTCCCGCGCGTCGGAGACGTCCCTTGAGAGTTTTGAGCTGCAGATTATTCGCTGGTTCTGATGCTCTGTTTGGTGTGATACCGGGCTCCTCCATCCAGATTAGCTGTGTTTTGCGCCGAGAGAGAGTTCTAGTATCTCCTCTCGGAATTTGATGCGGATGACGGACACTCGGAGCCAAAATGCGTGACCCACAACGGAATTTAGATTCCAGCCTTCCTGGTCCGGATCACTCAAAGCACGGGCCTGAGCCTCACCATCCAGTGCTAGTTGACTGTTGACGGGCTTGGCTGCTGTCAATTGGTCATGGGCGCAGGGTGGTAGACACATCTTTCAGAGGCTCGCCGACGTTGACATCCATCACACACTGGCCTTATATGGTCGCATGGAAGCCTCGACCTCCTGCATGGTTCGCGAGAGAATTTCTTGCCGTTGCGTCGAAGAGCCACAGCCACCACGTCAGCAATTGAATCGGCCATCGAGTCTGTAGATTTGGTGGCATTAGTCGCTAAGGAATTGTATCGTTGGCAAGGCAGATGATCGAGGAGCAGACCCATGTGATTCATAGTACCTACCTGATTTTATAGATGGGAATGTCTCGAGGTCAACAGTCGCATGATCGACCAAGAGACACTGCGCTAGTCTAAAATAGTCTAGACTGCGTTGGCGATAGCGGCGCGTTAACAACTTTCGTGTCTCTTGGTCTCAACATAAAATCAACATCTGAACCTCGGAAATGTCTCGTCGTCCAGAAGACTATTGCGGACCGTGTAAGTTTCTCCCAGATTGTCAATATACCTTACTGCCTTGTGCCACCGTCAGAACGTCGCGGAATTGTATTTCTACTAAGCAGATGCTGGTCCGCCAATCTTACATACCGTAGTGGGCGTTGCAATGAAAACAACGCCTTGCATCCTGTAGCTGAGTGCGTTTTTGGATGAATTGGTTGCAAGGTTCTGCAACTACTGATCCCAAGGATCCCGATTGGCCTCTGCTCTTTGACAATCGGCGACCGTGGAGTGCAGCAGCCTGGTCGACGAGGCTGAGGGATGTTGGTCTTCAAGACCAGAGCTTGCTGATTTTTGCCTATCACTCTCTGCTGCCTTACTCAACAGCAACCCTTGATACAGATGGCGAGCCCCGTAAATTCCTCTTGTCGAGAATGGTCAAATTACAATGGCAATCTCTAGCAACGAAATCCTTTACGATAGCCTCACAGGTATGCCTTGTACTCAAGTCTGCAATGGCAGCCAATTGTCGTTTCAACCTCAAATTTTACTCTGCTTTCAGGTGCTAAGACCAGCTTTCCTACCAGGCCATGTCTTTCGCTCAAATCTGTGCTGCCGGCTTCCGTATCCTGAGTCCAGGAAACATAAGACCCGACCCGCTCGACCGAAATGTCTGCTCATATACTTAAGGAGATCTGATGGTGTTGTATCGTGGAGTTTCTACTCCTTCAGATTGCTCTGACATTGGGCCACTCCTTGCATACCGACCATGCTGTGCTGTCCTTTGATCTAGTGGGAAAATAAAAGTTTTAATGATCAGTTTTAATTCTTACGACTCCAAAAAAACAAGGTTTAGAACTTTCATCATCCAGACTCTCATTCTGAAAAGTTGAAGGCTAAAATCTCACCTCAGAACCTAAATCCTAGCTTGTCCGCAAAATTTTCTTCTCAACGAAGCGCAGTTTGAGTAGCACCAATCAGGATACGTGCGACTACGTCAGATCGTGGTTCTAGGCTGCGACAAGGGGTATCGTTGCAGAGGACATAAGCCAGCTTGGTACCTCCTACCCAGATCGTACCGATTGAGGACCACCGTTTGGCTTCTAGTCCTGAAGTCAGAAGCTCATATTCTCCCTGTATCCTTCAATGATTATATCACCCTCGCTACTTACTACTCGTGAATGCTGAGCGTGTCAGAAGTTATGGAGTCGACCCTAACCCTTCGCCTAGCTAACGAAGGTGACATCGACGCAATGACGACTATCACCACTACAGCATACCCGCTCGATGCCCAATGGCGCTATCGTTTTCCGAAGCTCAACGTCTACTCTGACGATCATCATGATTTCCTACGCAGCCGCCAAGCTGCTCACATAGCGAACGCTATGAGAGGAACGCAAGTAGTCATGCTTGCTGAAGCACCGAGTAATCAGAACCCAAGCGTGAAGAAGGTGGTGGCGCTTAGTGTTTGGCAGCTGCCCGGCACGTACATGAAAGAAGGCAATGGATCACCGAAGGGTTAGTAGGCAGGGACTCCGTGCTTAATGAGGCGGTGAATCTCAGCTCACTTATTGTGGGAGAGTCTTAGTCGAAACTTCTGCAGTCCAAAATCAGCGCCGCGATGCGGACATCCCACGTATGCAGGCATTCAAGAAGAGCCTGGGAGAAGCCAAAGAGATCCTTCTTGACAGAATATACGGAGAGAACCAACTGTTCTTGCTTTCGCTGGCTACACATCCAGATCATCATCGGCGTGGGGCTGGCACAATGCTCTGCAGGTGGGGCATGGCGAAAGCGAGGGAGGAGGGTTCGACCGTTACGCTGTTTGCAAGTGTGATCGGGAAGATGCTTTATGAAAAGCTGGGCTTCAAGCAGGTGGGAATGGCGCATGTGCAGGTCGACGGAGAGGAAGAAGGACTAGATATTCCGGCTATGGTCGCTGGTTCTTGGTGATGTCATGAATGTGGGGGACGGTTTCTCTAGCATGCGAGGGTTAGTACACCTAGGCGAAATCGGCTCGGGAAAGACAATCAACAGTGATATCTTAGGCCTGGTATCACACATTGAAAGCTAGTGGTCGCACAAGCGCTTCTTGCCGAGTCAAGCTTTGCGATCTTCACGCTGTCGCTACATGTTTCCGCTCAGCGAGGGTCTTGTAGTACCTTACGATTACAACGATCTTGCGATGATTTCCGAATCTAATCCAGACACCCGCACCACGCTCAGGGGATAGCACAGGACCAAGGCATTCTTTGCTAAGTCTCAATGTAGCCTCAACCAAGAGAGACCAAGAAAAAGCCTCTCTTGAGGAGCCTTGGTGCTGCATCTCGACGCTCACGGTGCACGTACTAACCGTCTTTTCGAGCGGGAGCTGATACGGATCATCGGGAGGACCGTTATGGAAGCTACCGACATTATCAAATCTCGGGAGCTGGTTGATAGCAGTGCGACAGTCTTTGAAGGCGGGGGTTTTGGTAAAGATGCTTGGTTTATCAACGCATTTGTAATCACCATCCGCAGTGAGCGATGTCAGATTGGATGTTCGAAGATTTTCGGTAAGAGCGTTGCATGGAAGGCAGATGATAAAGGTAAGACAGAGCTGGTAGGCGAGAATCATGGTAGGCTAATGAGGTCTGAGAGGTCGAGTCTCTTGGAACGCTGATTGAGAACTTCCGAATTAGAGATAGGTGCTTTCTGGTAAGCGGTCAACTACTGACCAGAAAGTAAAAGATAGTTGTGCTCTGGGTCTACATACTCATCAAGGTTCGCCCTCGAGGTAGACTCTCTTGCATACAAAGTTTCTTGTTTCTTACCATGTAAGAGTCAAATACTCTCTGACATCGCGGCAGGAGGCGCGACCCGCTCGAGCCGTTGGACTATCCGATCATGCAGGCTGCACCATGCAGAACTAGCCACAGAAGCGCGTCAATCAATCACTGAAGGGTAGCCGCAAGATGCTAGCATTCATAGCCACGGTTCAGATGTTCTGTGAAATTAGGCAGGAAAGAGCGCTAAACTTCTGACTGAGCATAATGATAAGAGCGAAGGTCATCTATCTGACTTGCTACCACGCCATTTCCTCAAGCAAAAGGATTACCTTCCGTGTTGGGGGCTGCCTTGATCTGAGCTTCGGCAGCGACACATGATCTGAGCAGGCCGGAGCGTCGGACGAACATCTCAATGGAAGGTGAGCAAGGTGAGGACGTACGTTGCGAGATTCAGCCCTTATATGAATCGTGTTTTAACATCCAAATCTAGATCTGATATCTGTGCATGCACGGTCCTCTCTGGAGATCCGGTACATGAGCGCTAAAGCTTGTGTTTGTTTGCGACAATGAATGACCCGTTTGTAGTGCTCGCCAATAACATCCGCAGCTTTCCGTGCTTTCTATCTCGCCAAAACGCTCTAGATCACACGGCTATTCTGTGTACAAGACACGCTCCGGGTTAGCTTTCACCACATGCTACGTGTGATCTCCAAATTTCTGATATGTGCAGTCTTCATCTACCATTTGTAGCTGCTGAGCGTTCACGGGCTTCCGCCTGGAGTCAAATCAACTTATGCGACGATTCATTTGAAAACGTTGTTTGGAAGTCGAGCATAATTGCCTAAAAATTCAGTCGCTGCAGTACGTTGAGCTTGCTTGAAGCTGGAAATTGCAGCTTTCCCAGACCACCTCACCATGTGAATTCACAAAAGCACATCATGTAGCCTTATCATACACTCATGGAGGGGTATTGACAACAATCCTCCCCTCGACTTCGTGCCTCGCAAGTCGCCGCAAGGCGTGATTCAGATCGTCGAACTCAATCACCTCCACCAACGGCAGAACTTTGCCCGCAACTGCTAGAGCCAGTAGCTCATCCATATGCTGAGGCGTTCCAACGGATGAACCTACAATGCATAGGCCTGATGCCCAGTCAGAATCAGCGCCTCGTGTCATGACAAGCTCACGTGAGGACGACGGGAGACAAGCTTTGCTGACCTTTGTTCAACATCTCGAAAGGACTAATCAGCAAATTCTCCGTAACCAATCCAACACATACGAGCGTACTTGTATCCCTTACCAGCCTCATTGCTTGTTTGTGTGCCGCCATTCCTGCCATACACACTACGGCATGTGCGCCGTAGCCATTGGTGAGAGCTCCCACAGACGCCTGAATGTCATCGCTATTAAAGTCTAGAAAGGCGGTGGTGCCGAGTCGGAGGCAGAGAGCGCGCATATATCTCCGTTATCTTGGCTTTCGACACCTCGCATTGCAGACATCGTACTTTTCCGGATGAGCCTCACAGCAAACGACCCTACAACTTCGTCAACGGTGACTTTGGTCTTTCCTCTCCCTCAAAAGCTCATAACTCCATTCGCGGGGTCTTCTTTGGGCTCTCAGGCAACACGGCTTCTGTGGAAGTCTCCCTGCCGTGGAGCTCTAAGCTGTCTTCTACAGACCCGTCAAGGCTAAAGCGCTTTTGGTTACTTCTTCTCGTATCTGCTGTCGAGCTAGGGCGACTCGGGTTGAGAGTCCGCGAGCCCAGATTCTGAACTGAGTGGATACATTATTGGAGGGTTGACGAGTTCTTGACGATGGCCGAGAAAGAAGGCATGCAAGCGCAGATCAGACCTATCTGTTGTTCGATGGTGCTCTGTGAAGTTAGCGGTTTCAGGAAGTAAGCTGAGGCGGTTCAATCCCTGTATGGGGCACGGACGTGACTAGACAAGTGCCTGCTAAAAGGTACGTGGCATCCACCTCCGTTTGATGAACTTGTAGTCGAAATATAAGGCCTACAAGACTCTTCGCGCAAGCTCTGAGTTGACGTTAGCGGAGTCACTTCTTCCTTGACGAAAAGACACAACATACATAGTTCCGATCATGAATACTAATATGATACCAAATTTCGCTTTGATAGAAAGCTGAAATTTTGAAACTGCTGCAATAGGAGCGCATAGTATATAAATGTCACTGAAAAGATTCACAGCCCCGAGAGCTTTGTTGGTGTCGACAACAGGTTTAACGTATAAGAAGATGTTAAGAAACATCAAAATGGTATATGCGAGAATACAAACGTCGTCTTTAAGTATGTTAGATATCTGGTGACTTTATCGGTAGCGAAGATGCGTACATATAGCAGCAGGAGTGACAGCCTGAGAAAGAGCATGGTAGGCGGTAAGACAATGTTGTTGTATCTCCCGAATTACATCGTGTAAGGTCATTGCGCAATGAGAAATCCTTTCTGTTCACTTACTCGGACTATGAAAGGGATTTCGGACCGCGGTACGTCCCATTGGTGCTTGCTAACCCCATGCAGTGACACTGATACGTAGTCAACAAAAGGATTGCCATACTTTGAAAGTTGTACTTACTCATGATCGCCATTCCGAAGCATGCAGTAAACCCCATCTATAATACCATATTGAGTCAAAAGTGTTGCGGTGTTGGGTTGAGCGAACCTACCGTCGCAACAATGCAGGCCACTAGACTAGTCAGCTAGCTAGCAATTAGCGAGAAGACGTTTGGTAGCTTACGATCGTCGAAGCCCGGCCTACGCTTGAACCAAACTTTGACATACATGCGAAGACAGACAAAAACATAGACTATTCCCAAAAAGGTAGCGCAAGGAATTTTGTAAATATTGGCGCGCTGATTGCGGGCCGCGAAGTTTGACACAATACCCGGTGGAAGGGGTAATGCGGGCGTAGTCTTGTACTTTTCGAGCTACCCCACAGAGAAAGAAGCTGGATTGACCGACATAACGGGGAATATCATCACTAGAAGAAATGATTTGTGAACATCAAGCGAGTAGATGCAGAAAGAGGTGCAAATTACGATGAGGCAACCGGAAGAAAGAGAGAAAAAAGAAGATCCATGGAGTCCCATGAAGCACGAAGCTCCACTGAAAGGGTTTTGGTGCATTGCTCATTATGAACTCAACTGACGGCGCCGGATCTTTGGGATCAGTACGTGGCGTAAATAAGATTTTGTATTCGGACCCACGCTTCCGGCGATTCTGGTTTTGATGTGAATGAAAATACGTCGAACTTCCCGTCGCTCCTGGTATGCCGCCTAGCAGTCGATCCTTGCCCACCAGTGGCAGTGGGGCTGGAGGGAACAACCGCAAGCCACAACAGCCGCAGTTACATCAGCAACTGATGCAGGTGACGCTCGAAAGTGGTATCATAGGGAAGTCCGGTCTGAAAGTGGAGTCCATGGATGTTACCAAAACAGCGATACTGCTGGCGGACGGAGAGGCAATTTCCACAGACGTGATCAATGCTGCAGACAGTCTCCACGTAAGTGATGCTGGTTCCGAGAGCCGACGACCTCGTTGCTGATGGATTAATTACTCCATAGTCGGTGGTCAGGTCTCACATCCTTGATAGCAAAAAATCCTTCCCACAGCGTTCAACTGGCCAGAGCGCGATTAGATTCATGCTGCCCGAAGCCGTTACGCAGAGGGACAGTATCCTGTCCACTGCTGTTAGCGATGATGTACTCATGCTCTCATGGAAAGGCAATGACAAACGCGTTCTCGTTCCAGTAGACTATGACAACTAGTTCAATGTCACGTGCACTTACCCGAGCAATGTTTTCAACCAGCAGACTTTCAGTAACAATTCTGCCGCTACTATTTGTACGATGACTCTTGATCTATTTAATGACTTTCCAAGGTTGACCCTTTTGCCATGCAGCATATAGTCAGAAGGTCTCTTACGACATCATTCTTGATATCTGTACTGATTTGATCCTATCACAAAACGACTCTTCTCACTGGCCGACCCGGATGGCTTCAGAGTATGGCAATTGAAGGATATGGACGACCACTCCAACTGGAGTCTCAATCATACCACTCTTCCGGGGGCGCTTGCCACCCTGTCTTGCCATTCGGGTTTCTTTCGGGTTCTCTGGCGCCTCAACGGCGATCGAAATGGGTTCACTCTCTCAACTCTGCTCTGCTACCGCTTGATGTGCAAGGAGGAGATACTGTTGGCCGTCTGAAGTTGTACGAGGAGATCCGGAGGCCACGCGTGGCAAAATTGCGAGAGTCATTTTTGATCATTGCGAAGGGGTCGGAGCACGGGAAATCCATACAGGATCCTAGAGTTTCTCTCTTCTCATATGCCGTAGAGCACACCAAGCATATTCTGTCTAGATATATTGGAATCAGCCAATAGGAGGCCAGCATTTCTACACACTACTAAGTTCCAAATAGGTGTTGTGACTACGCCTTATGGTGGCAAATAGCCTTAGCGTGGCTTCACACCATAGATAGGTAGTCACCTCCATCCTTCCTACATACTTCTTCATAGAACATGACAATAAACAACTATTCTTCATGATATGAGACCATTGAATGCACACCATTTCCAATAAGATACTTGGAGATAGGTTCAGGGAAAGATGCACCGTAGGCCTGATACCCGACATACTTTCAAAACATCACAATGATTGACGGGTAAAATTTGAAAGGAGCAGGATTGAAGCGATAAACTACACACGAAAGGTACGTGGAGAGTTTGACTCCCAGATTGCCTCTTGTCCTCATTTGCGATCTGGGACCTCCGCGTAATCTTGATTGTTTTGAAGGCTCACTATCGCTGGTCAATGAGCCGAACAACTCCCGGGCCATCGCGCATGTAACACAACGCTTTTTAACACCTTCATCGAGCAGTGCGTAAGATCTAGCTAGATTGGTACAGTTAATGTGTTAAAGAAACCTCCTCTGGGCCCAGGTTTTTATAATGTGTTAAACACCCCACTAGTTCGCTCTAGTGCCTTGGCACCGCCTATTTCAAGCAATCTTTGTATCACATAGCTAATGAACAATGAAAGAACCTTCATAATGTAACGAGATGGCCTTTGCAAATTCCAAGCAGTATGCGACTGATGCCGATGAGGAGATCATACCAACGACAACCATGATCAAGAACCTTCCCATCCACTGGAACACTGGTCATCTGCTACACCTCATGAGCCAAATGAAGCTCCCACCACCAAGGGCTTTGAACTATCTCTACGACGAATTCGATGACTTTCGTGGCATGGCATTTGCCACCTTTGCCACGTCGGAGGAGGCGCGGCAAGTGGTCCTGGAGCTCAATTACCATCAAGTGTTCGGACGAAAGCTGAATGTACAGTACAAGAGGAAACACCCTTGGGTCATAGCAAGAGAGGACTTCTCTTGGCGGAAACCTTTGCAGCCAACCCATAGTTCACACACAAATGATCGATACAAGTCGTACCTGCACCCCCAAGAGAAGGGTTGTCCAGTGCCAAGGCCCACAAGACAGCAGACGCCACCTTCGGAATCCTACAATTTGCTCATGGCCTACCAAACAGACCCTGTCGAGAAGGAGAAACTCAAAAGAATCCTTGTGCAAACAGGGGACTACCAAGAAGCTATCAATAAGTTCGCGAAAAACAGAGCGCTGGAGTCGCAAGAAGTGGAACATCCATGGAGTATGCAGAATCGGCCGATATTGGAGATGAGGCCGGCGACATTAGGGGACCTGCAGCAGATAGCTGCCATGGAGAGTCGATTTGGACTTGGTGGCGAAGCCTCTTTGAGTGGGTTGCTCTTCACCAACCACGAAGGGGACCGGGATGCCACGGATACGACGAAGGAAGGCTACTAAAAAGCGTTAACCTGACTTCACTGGAGAAAAACCATGAGATAACATCCGCAGAGCAGAGGCAGAGTTGGACAACGGGGGAGATCGAGACAGTGTTGAGTAGGCATGAGTTGGAGATGGGTTCATGGGGGTGAGAAGCAGGAAGGGACAGACACTGGAACCTACGAGAGGCGGTGATGAGTCTGACCGTAGAAGCTTGTTGCACGTGGGATGGGGGACTGGTTGTTTTGTTAGATGCTGGCAGGTCTTCTATTGCTCCTCCAGCTTGGACAGGGAAGGGTGAGGGAGAGCGTTGCGAGGTAGAGCATGATAGTCTCGTGGAAGAACAAGCTCATGGTTAATGTTCGTCTGAAGACAGGATGTAGACTGGTGGTGTATGAGGCTGTCTGATGCTGCAAAATGTTGCGTGTCGAGGAGCCCCTATTTGCGAGTATGTTGACCTTGTACTGTTGTAGATCCACCGAGTTTCGTAGCGAATACGGTGATGTCATGTGTGCCAAGAAAAACTGCCCCTGCAGATTGAGGCGTTTTTTGCTCGGCGCTTATCGGCGCTATCTCTGTTACTTGATCTTTACTCTACAACAATCGCTGGAGAACCCCCATCAGTCGGAAATCGAGACCTCAAGAATGGTTTGGAACGGGACAAGGAGGGAGAGCTCACAGCTGACTCGAGACTTCTTGGTCCATTTGGCAAATGCGCAGTCTAGGTAAGTGCATGCAAGAAGTGAACAGAGAGCGCCCAGCGATAAGCGCTCCATGCCTGTTAAGAAGAGTGTGTCACTGAATGCTGCCTAAGTTAGCCCGAGACATTTGGCATCATCTTCTCCACAAAGTACGAAAAGACACTGCCCGACAAGAACAAGCAGAACCCATTAGCCATGCTCAACAACCTTTGGCCTAGCTCCGCATCTTCATCCAAGTACACTCAGCTATCCGACCTCGAGCACTCGTCAGTGTCTCCTTCTTACGGTATTTTACTCCAGTTTCCCAAGCGTTGGCCCCCTGCCTTGATCATCTTGGTCTAAATGTGCTCTGGCCAAGACAACCAACGTTGACTCTACCTACCACAATCCCTAATCACAAAAGAGCCAGCCCACTTTCAATGCTTCAGTATTTCTTTTCCGCATAAGGGGATGGCTTTGCTCTCCTTCTGATACACTTATCCTAAGTTCGCTTCTGCTTCCTCGTTACCGTAGCATTGTAAGGTTCGTTGCTAAAACTGGTGCAAGGACTGTTGACGGGGTCTACCCTTCGAGGAGCCATAGCTGCGGTCTGCGGAACAGCTTTCCTTGTAGGTCTATCTTCCCATCCACTCTCATCTTTACTATATCAAGTGTGTTACCGTAGCGCCTACTTGAGTTATCTTGATCTTTGAAAGCTTAATGCGTACGTGACGTGTATGTCTTGGAAGTTTGACGGTCCACCTGAAGACTGACTCACATGCTACAAGCTTTTCGGCTACGACCAGGGTGTCCTCGGCGCTGTAATTGGCTTGCGCTCTTTTCGCGCCGATTTCGACAATCCAAGCGCCAAGCTCGAAGGCATCATCGCCGCTATCTATGACATTGGTTGTTTCATAGGCGCAATCGTGGCATTCCTGACTGCTGATCGTTATGGGCGGAAAGGTAGTATCAAGTGGGGATGCTGGATCATGGTAGTCGGAACCGTTTTGCAGACATCTGCAACGGAGAGCGTGCAGTTGATAATTGCCAGAACCTTGACCGGAGTTGGCAATGGGATCAACACAGTCAACGTGCCTGTCTGGCAAGCTGAGAGCTTCAAGAGCCATAATCGAGGGGTAAGTATATACAATTAGCCGATCATAGAAGCTCTCGCTGATGATGCGAACAGGCACTTCTCATCATTCAGAGTGCGTTGATCGCCTTTGGTCATCCACTCAGCACATTTATGGGCCTCGCCAGCAGCCAAGCCGAACCCTCCTCTTTCGCATGGAGGTGGCCAATCGCCTTCCAAGGAGTGTTTCTGGTTATCATTCTCATCGCTTTGCCGATCCTCCCAGAATCACCTCGCTGGCTCGCTCAACATGACAGGCTAGAAGAAGCTGTGGAGATCTTCGCTAGGCTAGAAGGCAGGGACGTAAGCATCGAGCACCCTAGTGTCGTTCGTCAGCGAGATGAAGTCAAGGCGTCTGTGCAACAGGAGCTTCTGCTAGGCTCGGCATCGTGGGGTGAGGTATTCACAGAGGGTAGAAATAGGAACATTAGTCGTGTGCTCCTAGGAGCTGGCCCGTATATGTACGTGCCTCCATCCTATCCATTCGCAAGACCGATGTTAACGTACTGGGGTCAGGATGAACCAGTGGTGTGGCATTAACTCACTGGCTTACTTTTTGCCCATTACTTTCGAGCGCAATATTGGGCTGTCCACGCAGCTTTCACTCATTATCTCCGGCGTGCTAGGATTCCAGTATTTCCTTATTTCTTGGCTGTTAGTCTACCCTCTCCACGAGCCTTCCTGAATTACCCCTGACGGAGTTATAGTCCATACTTTTTCATTGAGCACTTTGGCCGTCGCAAAATGTTGATGTCAAGCGCAGCCGCTTGTTGCTTCTGCATGATAATGATCTCTTCTATGCTGGCTTTGGATACTACTACAGTGGGTCCCTCAGTCTTCCCGTCTTAGGGGGACATCCAAGGCTGACAATCGTCTTCGCGACAGTCTCAATGGGCCTTCGTAGCCTTCACCTTCCTATTCTTCGACGCATTTTCCCTCGGGATTCTTCCAGTCTCGTGGATGTATGCTTCTGAAATCATGCCCCTTCGCACGCGCAACAAGGGCGTCGCTCTCGGTGCAGCCTCCCACTGGCTCTCTAACTTCGTCGTTGTCTACATCACCCCACAAGCTATTCAGGGGCTTGGGTATCGACTTTATCTAATCTGGGCTGCACTTAACGCAACTTTCGTGCCTATTACGTGGTTGTTCTATCCGGAGACGGCAAGACGAAGCCTTGAAGACATGGACGCCGTCTTTTTGAATGAGAGCTTTGGGGTCACGAAGACCAGAGAACCGGGCACCCGAACCCATGCTGAACCTCATGTGGCAACGGCGACAGATTAAGGGTGTAGGATAGCTCCGAAGAAATGCATGACGAGGAGCTGAGAGCCGAATACTCTTGGAAGAGTTATCAATATCAGCCCTGATTATACGCTGCGCAACGGGGCGGAGTGGGGCGGGGTTTTGGGTACCCAATACCACCCCGCTTCGGGTCGGGGTTTTGACGGGGTGGGGTAGGGTCGGGGTAATGTTTTCCTTCCGGGGTAATGGGGGTACCTCGTTATCCCGCCAAGTCTATCAATTAAATTAAAATTTATATATTATTTTTATATAAATATCTAATCGCGTATTAAATAATATTTTATTATTTAAGATTTTTAAATATATTTTTTTAAAAAAAAAAATTTTTTTTATAAAAATAAATATTTTTTTTTTTTTTTTTTTTTTTTTATAATTTTTTTTTTTTTTTTTTTTTTTTTTTTTTTTAAATAAAAAAAAAAAAAAAAAAAAAATTTTTTTTTTTTTTTTTTTTAAAAAAAAATTTTTATATTTTTTTTTATATAATTTTTTATAAAAAATTTTTTTTTTTTTAAAAAAATTTTTAATTTTTTAAAAATTTTAAAAAAATTTTTTATATATTAATTTAATATTAAAAAATTTAAAAGTTTTTTATTTTTTTCTACTTATCTTATTAAATATAGATATATATTATATTATATTATATTTTTTAAGTTATTATTTAATTAATTTTAATAATAATTTTTTAATTTTTTAATTTTTAAAAATTTATATTATACGAGTAAAGATCTATAAATTAAATCTATAATCTTTTTTTTAAATCGAGACTATCGAGTAAATTTCGATAAGCGAACTTTAATAAGTAATATTTAAATTTCTTATCTTTAAATATCTATAAGACTAAATTTAGTAATTCTTTTTTTATTTAAAAACTTATATTATATTCTATAATTTAAATAAAAAAATTTAAAATTTTAATAGAAAAGAAAAAAAAAGTTATTTTAAAAATAAATAATATATATCTATTTTTTTTTATTAAAGCTATTCGAAAGCTATCGACTATCGAGCGAACTCTAATAAGCGATATTTAAATTTCTTACGCTTTAATAATTATAAGATTAAATTTTAGAATTCTTAAAAATTCGAAAAGCGTAGACTACGCTTTAAAATTTAAAATTTAAAATCTTAAAAAGTTAATGAAAAATAAAAAAGTTATTCTATATATTAATAATATATATCTATTTTTTTAATAATTATAAATATTAATTTATTTACTTACGATATCTAATTAAAAGAGCGTAGATCTAATAAATTAATAATTAACTATATATATAAATTTAAGATTTTCTAATTTAGCTCTATCTTATTCTATTATATATATTAATATATTTTATATTTAAAATTATATATTTTATTTTAATAAAAAATATATATAAAAGAGAAAGATAATAAACTTTTTTAGATTTTATAATCTAAAATAATTTATTAATAAATTCGATATAAGTAAAATTAATATATAAATAATAAATTTATTTAAATATAAATTATAATATTAAAATTAAAATTAATATAAAAAAATTTTTATATTAATAAATATTATTTTAGCGATTTTTTTTAATTTTTTTTTTTAAATTATATAAAACTCTTATATAATTTTTTTTTTTTAAAAGTTTATTATATCTTTAAAAATTTCTAGATATTTAATTTTCTTTTTAATAGATTTAATTATAATTTATTATATATATTACTATAATTAAAAGTTTATAAATTAAATTTATAAAGTTAAATTTTTCTAAGTTAAATAAAATTTTAATCTTAGTTCTAAGTTAAATTAAACTCTAATCGCTTATTATATATTTTTAATTTACTTTTATTATTATAAAATTAATAAAGAAGATAAAAGCTCTAACTCTAAGTTAAATTAAATTTTATTTACTTTTTATATAATAAATAATTTATTTTTATTATTATAAATTATTAATTAATTATATCTTTATTTAAAAAAGAAGTATTTATTTAATAATTTTATTTTTAATATATCTTATTAATTAAGTAGATTATCTTCTTAATAAATTATTTAAAGTTATAATTAATAATTCTATTTTATTAATAATTTAATTTAAAATTATATATAATTAATTATAAATAAAAATCTTAAAATATAAATATAGATTAATTTATTATAATAATTAATTTTAAAATTTATTAATTATTATATTAAAAACTAATTAAATTAGAAATTAAATATATTAAAAAAAAGTATATAAATTATTTAAATTATACGAAGTTAGAGAGATATATAATATATAATATATAATATTATTATATTTATTTTTAAAAATATAATAATTAAATATTTTAAACTTAATATATTTAATTTATAAATATATTTTATTATATAGATTTATATTTTATTTTAAATTTCTTAATAATATTATTATAGAATTTTATTTTAACTTTAAATAATAGAGTAAAAGCGAGATTAATTTAAAAATATTTATTATTTTAGTAAATAAAAGAAAGCTATCTTTTTTATTAATAACTTAATTTTTATTATTATAAACGATTTTAGTCTTAGAGAACTTATTAAGAATTTAATTATTAAATTAAATAATATTCTTATTAAGAGTATAAAGAATTACTTTAAATATATAGAAATTAGCTATTTAATATAAATTAAGATTATTATAAATAATATTAATTAATTAAATAATAAAGTTATTTAATAATTATTTAATAGATTAATTAATAACTTTTTATTTTTCGAAGTTTATTAAAATATTATTATTTATATCTAATAATTTTTAAGCGAATATCTTTATATTAATTTAACTTTAATTAATTAAATTAAAATTTTAAAATTTTATATTTTTTATAAATTTAAGAATTTAAATATAATTTTAAAAATAGAATATCTTTAATATAATTTAAGCGATATAATTTAACTTAATATTCTTAATAATTAAAAAAATTTAATAAAAATTATTATAGAAATATATAATTATAGTATTAAAAGAAGTAAAGTTCTTTTAAATATTTTAGAATATATAATTAATAATCTTAATATTATAGCGATTTTATATAAAAATCTTATTTTAGAAAATAAATTTAATTATTTTTAATAATTAAGTTAAATTAAATTTTATTAATATATTATAATTAAATTAAATAATAATATTAAAAATAAATTTAAAGTAAAAATAAATAATAACGTTAACTTAAAGAAGAATAAAGATAATATTAAATAAAATTATAATAATAACTATTTTAGAGTTATATTATACTCTTTATAATATAATATTCTAAAGTATAATTTTATTAATATTTTTATAATTATCTAGAAAGAAAAGTTAGTTATTAAAATAAGAGATTATATTTTAAATAATATTAATTATAATAATTTAATTATTATTAAAATTTATTTATATCTACTTTTAGATATTAATTTAATAATTATATTTTTTACGTAAAAGTTAATTTTAATTATTAATATAATATTATTTATAATTTTATTAGATCGCTAATAAATTAAAGTTAATAATAAAATTAATATTCTTTATAAAAATAGTATTATTCTTTTTTAAGCGAATTTAAATTAAATAAAGATAGAAGTCTTTAATAATAGTTTATTTATATTATATATTATTTAATAGAGAAAAATAATAATATTTAATTTAAAGAATATAAATATAATTATTAAATAATTTAAATAAAGAATAATATATATTAATTAAAAAATATATATAAAATATAAAAAAAGAATTAAATTATTTATAAATTAAAAAGAGAAAAATACGTCTAATATAAAGAATTTTAATAATTAAAAAAAAAATTATATTAAGAAAAGTTATAATATTTTAAAATTATTATTAATATAATAATTTTCTTATTCTATAGCTTAAAGTATTTTAATTTATTAAAGAAATTATTAAGAAAAAATATATCTAATATAAAAAGTTTTAATATATAAAAAAAGAAATATTATATTATAAAAAGTTATAATATTTTAATATTATTATTAACGCGATAAGCTATTTATATTATATTTAAAGTTTTTCTATTTAATAATAAAAAAATTATTTATATATCTTAATTTATAATTATTTTATAAATTTAGAGAATTATTAAGCTTATATTATAGTAGAATTATTATAAAAAAACTTTATAAAATATATCTTCTCTATTAAATCGCTATTTTATTTAATATTTAATTTTATTTAATATTATTATAAAGTATATCTTTTATTATATAAATATTATAAAAAAAATTATCTATTATATAAAAGTCTTTAAAAAATATAAGATTTAATATATTTAGAAGAAAATATTATAGATAGAAAAGCTTTTTAGCGTTTAAATTAATATAATATATTCTTTTAATAATATCTCTACGCCTCTAATATAAACTTTATTTAAATATATATATATATATATATATTTAAATATATTACTTCGATAGATTAATATAAAAGAGATTTTTTATTTATTTTTATTATTAATATTATTAATTTAACTAGAAGAAAGCTATTAGCTTAATCTAATATTTATATATTATATTAACTATTTAAAATAAATTATTATTATTATTAAATACTATATTATATAAGTAAAGATCTATAAATTAAATTTATAATTATTTCTTTTAATTAGAGCTGTCGAGCGAACTTTAATAAGCGATATTTTAAATTCTCTATCTTTAAATATTTATAAGACTAAATTTAATAATTCTTTTTTTATTTAAAAGCCCATATTACGTTCTATAATTTAAAAAAGAAATTAAAAAATTCTAATAGAAAATAAAAAATTTATTCTAAAATTAAATAATGTACCCCTGTTTTTTAATTAGGGCTGTCGAGCGAACTTTAATAAGCGATATTTAAATTCTTTGCCCTTTAATAATTATAAGACTAAATTTAAAAATTCTTTTTTTCTCTAAAAGCTTATATTTTATTCTATAATTTAAAGAAAAAATCTTAAAATTTTAATAGAAAAAAAAGTTATTCTAAAATTAAATAATATATATCTATTTTTTAATTAGGGCTGTGAAGCGAACTTTAATAAGCGATATTTGAATTCCTTACGCTTTAATAATTATAAGACTAAATTTAGAAATTCTTTTTTTATTTAAAAGCGTAAGTTACGAGTTATAATTTAAAAAAAAAATCTTAAAACTTTAATAGAAAATAGAAAAGTTATTAAAGAGTTAAAAGTAGAGAGAGAGATTTTTAATAGTTATAGACGTTAATTTATTTATTTACGATAAGTTAATTAATCTAACTAAGAAGCGTAGTAAATCTAAATTTATAATTAGCTATATATATAAATTTAAGATTTTTAAGCTTAATTCTATCTTATTCTTTTATATATATTAATTAATTTAAAAGATAAATAAATAAATATTTAATAGAAGAATTATATTTATATAATTTAAAGCTAAAAATCTTTTAATAGACTTTTATAGAGCTTACTTATTATATATTTTATTACTTTTAAATTTTATTTATCTAATTTAAATTTATATTATTTAAATCTATATTATTTTTATACTTTATTTAAAAATTAACTTAATTATTATTCTTATAAATATATTTAAAATATATTTATAGACTTTAATATTAATATAAATTTTTATATTGATATAAGCGTTATATTTAATTAATAAATAGAGATTATAAAATATTATCTAATAATTCTACTTAGATTTATTATCTAATATCTTAATAAATCTATATTAATAATATATAAAATATTTAAAATCTAATTTAAAGATAATAAAATTGCTAAAGTTCTTTAGAAATCGCTTATTATATATATTTTTATCTAAGTTTTAATAAAATAAAATAATATCTATTTTATTAATAGTATATTAATTATAGTTTTTATAAAGTATATATTTAATAACGATTATATAGAGATTAGAAAATAAATTTTAATTAGAAATCTTAATATTAATAGCGATATTAATCTTAGCGATATTAAAGAATTAATCTTTAAAGTATAATATAATAAAAATATAAGTATATAATAAATATTATTTTTAAAATTTAATAATATAAGGTGCACAAGTGCTACGTTTTACAAACATTGTCTGTTTACAGAATCCTGTACTATTCGTCAGGGGCGATTATCCACTACAAGCAAGATACACCATCCTCAAATTTTCACTGCATCTTTGTATTCCTTCCCACTACACTACCAACATCCACAAACGACTGGCTGCAATCGCTTCAACCCTATCAGTATCATGAACCTTACGGCGCTCTTTAGCCCGGCCACCCTAGCTAGAGGCTTTAACTATGAAGTCCTCTCCTTTTGCCTTGCTGCTGTTGCTACCTTTTGCATTCTCCTTGTATATGGTGCCAATATTGATCTTCCCGGCTTCGTCTTTTTCAACTAATGCCACCGAAACTCATAGGGTACCGCCCAATGTACGCTTTGAGATCGATGACGTGGAGGCAAATTGGACATATCATCAGACATTCGACTACATCCACTGCCGCTTCATGGGCAGTGCTATTCGCAACTGGCCTCGTTTGGTCCGTCAATGCTTTGAGTAGGTCACTCTATCGCCCACTCCCTAAGGAATTTCTCAGAACATCAAGGGCAACTAAAGCAATGAAGTTTCTCGGGGTGTCCGTTCCAAGCCAGGAACACGAACGAAATGAAAATCCATTCATTAACATTCAAATAGGCATACCAAACCAGGCGGCTGGGTCGAATGCATCGATCTCGACCTGGAATGGAACTCTCCAGACGGTTCTCTCACCCCCGACCTCGCTTCTAAACACTTCAATACCACCTTCCTTGCGGCTTCACGAGAAGGCGGCATGGAGCCTTGCCCTGGACCTCTTCTCGAAGGCTGGTTGAGAGACGCTGGTTTCAAGGATGTTGCGGCTGAGAGGCATGTTTGGCCTGTGGGAACCTGGCCTGCTGACAGATATCTGGTACCAACAATACCTAAACGTCTCGATATCTATGCACTACTGATCCAACATTGCAGAAAGAAGTTGGCGCCTGGAACTACCTCCAGATCATGGAAGGTCTCGAAGCTTTCACTTACGCTCTTTTCACGCGTGTTCTGGGCTACTCGCAGCAAGAGGTCGATGTTGTATGTGCGAAGATCAGGAAAGAAATGAAAAATCCTAAGATGCACGCATACTTCTATCTGTAAGGCTACTCGTCCCTACTCATGAATGAGGTTTGACTCCCTTCATAGACACGTCGCCTATGGCAAGAAGCCCGAGGACAAGTAAAGGAGACGGGTACAAGCCAGCACACAGTCCGTCACGGCAGCCGGGTTCAATTGGCGAGGGCAGCATCACGGCGGATGGTATCCTTTCCCAGCTTTTCCTTAGCGACTCTCTGTAGTATTCACAAGAGCATTTCCACGGGAGACAGTCTAGCATGCAATCATGGTTTGGGCAATATTACTTCAACGCCTATACCATGCAATCCTTCAACTCCTATGGAAGCACCTGCAGTTCGTCACGCCTCCAGCATCTGTCTGTCCATGCCTTGCAGCCGTCCGTATGTCCAAGGCGTACCGTCAAGCAAAATGCTTCGCTATGCATGCTTACGCGTGAATGCAACCACTTCTAGCCTTCCATTCCATCAGCTGCGACATCTAAGGACCACCGTCATTACCCTCCTTGCCCTCGGTCGACTTGGCCGCCTCGGATTTCTTGGAAGCTTCCATCTTCGCGAAGAGGGATTGCGGCTTCGCTCTGCATCGGCACCACAATCAGACCATTGATCGTTGACGCTTGCCTGATGGAGTTGGGTCGGGGTTGAGGGGAGAGGAAACACTCACTTCCCAAACTGCTTGCTCTTGTACGCCGACAGCTTGGCCGTGCAGGGGCTCATGATCGTGTCCGAGGGTGAGACGTAGACTTGCTTCGCCCTGTAGTCCAAAAACGCTCGTTAGCCGTCGTCCCTCCCTCTTTGATTCAAACCCAACCCATCCCCATCCCCATCCCTCACCACTCGCCTCGCCTCCCCCCCCGTGTTCTGAAAACGATACGGGAAGCTGGCCCGACTTACTTGTCCTCCTCCAACCGACTCTGCAGTACCTGCCGGTGATACTCCATGCTCTGCGGCTTGCTGACGCTCTCTTTCCCCACCGTGTTGGACACCTGGTCGGCCTTGGGCTTCGTGGGTGAGGGGCCCGAGGTGTTGATGTCGCGGGAGGCGAGGGGTTTGGTGGGAGAGGAGGACATTTTGTGTGTGTGAGGTCTGGTGGTGGTTCGCTGGTGGATGAAGGGGGATTTTTGGGGGAGAGGGGGGGTTTGGTGGAAGAGGAGGGTGTTTGTGGGTGTGGAGGAGGTTCTGTGAAGGCTTGTGGGGGGTGTGGAGTGTGTGGGATTGGGGTTGAGTTGGTGGACAAGGGCTGCTGGTTTTGACTATTTACATAGGGCTGTTGTGAGGGGCAACCATTGCGAAGGCAATCGTAAAAGGCCCCGCTGACTCGCTGGTAGCTTGAATGCTGCAGGATATTAGTACCAAGGTCGGTGAATAAGATGAACCGGTACTTTCTCTACATGCTATACATCATAATATCATGGCGCCTTTTCCCGGACCCAAATCCACATCTACAACTTCGACTTCTGCTGCACCCCACTCTCCCTCAACAACCTCTCCCCCATTTGCTTCTGCCTATCCAACTTCTCCCTAACCTCCGCGCCCCTCTTATTCTCATTCTTCCCCATCTGCTGTAGATGCACCTCATCAGGGCCATCCGCAATCCTTAATGTCCTAATCTGCGCCCACATATTTGCTAGCGGCGTATCCTGACACACACCCGCCCCTCCATAACTCTGGACAGCCCGATCGATGACCGTCAATGCCATTTGGGGCACCATGACCTTCGCCTCCGCGATCTCTTTGAGAGCACTCTTCGCGTCTTTTTCATCAATCTTCATAGCGGCGTTGAGCACAATCAGGCGGGCGGCGTCGATTTCAAGGCGGGACTTTGCAATCCATTCGAGTATGACGCCGTGCTCAGCGAGCAATTTGCCAAACGGCTTCTTGGTAGGGTCGTTCACGCGGGCAATCATCCAATCCAAGGCTTTTTCTGCGGCGCCGATAGAGCGCATAGCGTGGTGAATGCGTCCCGGGCCAAGACGGCCTTGGATGATTTCGAAGCCGCGGCCTTCGCCGAGGACCATATTTGAGGCAGGTACGCGGACGTTCTCGAAGGTGATGTGGGCGTGGCCGTGAGGAGCGTCGTCGTAGCCGTAGACGGATAGGACTCGCTTGACAGTTACACCTTTGGTGCCTGCTGGGACAAGAATGACGGATTGTTGCTTGTATACGTTTGAGTTGTTGGGATCGCTTTTGCCCATGACTATGTAGATCTTGCATCGTGGGTCGCCGGCGCCACTGCTCCACCATTTCTGTGACGTCGGTAAGTAAAGGCCAGCAGCTTCTGGGAAAGCTAACACTGTACCGAGCCATTCAATATGTAGTCATTGCCTTGTTTTGTCATAGATAATGTGATGTTTGTAGCATCGCTAGACGCAACATCTGGTTCAGTCATGAGGAAAGCGGATCTGATGTCGCCGTTCAAGAGTGGAGTGAGCCATTGCTTCTTTTGAGCCTCGTTGCCGTATTTCGCCAAAACCTCCATGTTACCAGTATCTGGTGCTGCACAGTTGGTGCCCTATATTATTCTTCAATATCAAAGAGTCTGTAACCTTTTGAAAGCGGTCTCGTACCTCAGAAGCTGTCCTGCATTTCCCCATATACTCTGCCATCAACCCATACTCCAAATTCGAGAAGCCTGCCCCCTCCTTGAAGTGATTCTTGGGTAGAAACATATTCCAAAGTCCCAGCTGTTTAGCCCTGGCTTTCAATTCATCGATTACGGGTGGGTATGTGCTCCATCTTTTCTCGCCCTCCCCCACCTGTGCGTGGAAGAGTACGTCTGCGGGAACGCATTCTTCCTCGACGAACTTTTCTACCTGTGTTGCGACAATTAGTAATTGACTGAAACGCAATTGAGATTGTCGAGAAGTACCAAGTTCAGAGTCTCTTTTGCTCGATCACTGACAGCACCCCGAGCAATGATGGGGATCTTCTCGGCAGCCGTCTGAGGCTTGCGGCTGCTGGCGAGCAGATTCTGGCTGAAGTCACTCTTGGACATAATTGCTTACAAGAAGTGTAGTTGACAGATGAACATGAGGAGCATCGTGCATGAAAGAAACAGCCTGCGTTCCAGTACGAAATACCCTTGCCATGCTGCGGCCGGAATTACAGCTCTACGGTCTACCCCACAAACCGTACACTCACTTGCCTCGGCACTGATGACTCCGCCAAGACGGAAATCCACCCCAACCTCACCCTCAGAAAACTTGTCGAAATTCATTAAGATATTGAGGAAGTGTTTCCCGAAGGTTGCGTCGTCCAGCCTGGCAGATAGATTATCGGATGAACGGGCAAAGGAACCTTCGAACTTGGCTTCGAGCGTAAAAGATGCCATCGAGATGTACGAATCTCAAGGTCAAAAGTACCTAAACGAGTAGCTGACGCCAGGACTAGGTTTGTCTGGATGTCGAAATGGATCAACCACCGTTTTGGTACGTCCAGGACATTAGGATCTAGACCATCAGGCACAGTTCTCAATCTCGACTATCTGACTGAGAAAAAGATTCTGCATCTCGAGGTACTGAAGACAAGACGGAAGAGATATTGAGCCACTGAAATCATCTCCGGACCACGCAAGTCTCTTGTTGATAGCGTGTCCAGCTCACAGCCCCAAAGCTATGTAGTAACACCACAGTCGTTTTTCCTTTCTCGTTTCGTAGCGTTAGCCATTATGCGATGACGAGCTCAAGTTCACTTGATAAACAACGGCCAAATCTCAATAAGGTCATGTCCAGATGAGTCAAAGTCATTGATCATGGATTGGGTCACAAGCAATCAAGGGTAATGCAAGGACAGTTAAGCGCACTGGGCAGAATGATCACAAACGCGTTTCCCACTTTTGATATATTCACATGTAGCTCAATGGTAAGGTCGCTATACAGAGGTATTTATGCGGCAATGAATTGGATTTTCTAGGAAACTGATTTGTAGATATATATAATATTTGTCACAGCTAAATGTCTGGTCAATGGGCCGCTGGCGCAACGGTTTGTTCTCCCGACCTCAGTATGTCTGACATTCTCCTAATCCTGGTTTAGGTAGCGCGTTCGACTCCAGATCGAAAGGTTATCTGTTCAAATCAGGTGTGGCTCAAATTTTGGACATCTTGATTATTGTTTTTGTCTTTTTTCTATCCTATCATGGCAGCCATCTCCGAGCCAATTCGACGGAGCTGGGCAGACGAACATGAGGTGGGGAATGGGCGGGTGGTATGCCGAAGATACTCGACTAGACTGCTGATCATCCTGGTGGGGTGTGTTGTGTCACCCTTGCTTACCCAGCGTGAAAGCGGCAGCGAGAGCAGCCAACTGGTGGGCGCAGAATTGTGTCTTCTTTCCGTGCCAAGACTCGGCCTTAAGAGGTCGAAATTACAACGATTCGAAATTAGGACACTTCGGGCGTTTAGAGGCTTCGGAACATTCCTTGTCTATCTGAGGGTATCTGGAGAACAAACGTCTATGAAAACCTTGAACGCCAGCCGCTGCTATGCAGCCAAGATGGACAGTGTAGCTCACGCCTTTTCAGCTCGCGACGCCTTGTGTTTCCTCTTCCCTCCGTTGCCATGCTTCTTGGAATTCAGCAGCTTCAATTCTCCAGGATCAATGTCTTTTTCCAATGCCGTCATTGTCTGCAGCTTCCTACCCGTCAGCTGCCTTTTCCCCTGCTCACTGTACTGGTGATTAAAAGGCATAATCAAATGTCCGGCACTGCCTTGCCCAGGTCCGAAGAACCTCTTATCAAGCCCGTTTGACTTCTCTCCTTGTAGAGGCACTGCAGGAAGCGACTCCGTATCATCCATCAATGAAGGATTCTCCGAGCCGGATATCGAAGCTTCTACCTGTGCTGCTAACATGGCCCGCCGCTTCTGCGGAAGATGCTCGACATCGTAAAGATCTCGATTGAACTCTCGTGGATCAACCGGAGGATCACTGGGAGGTGGGTGACAGAACAGTAGTTTGCCACTCACGTAGTCCTTGAGCACGTAACGCGCAGCTCTCGATTCATCCGGTTGTCCTTGTCCTGTCTTTGCGAATCCTCGAGCAACAGCGTAAGCGATCAAGATCTCCTCGGCCGTTGGTGTTCCGGTGCCGCCTTCTTCCAGGGGTCGAATCTGCACTTTGACGCCGTAAAGAGCCTCATAGAATGATTGGGGGATGCGCTGGGCAACGAGCCCTGCAGGTCCCGTAAACTCTCGAAGCTGGTCAATTGGTAAGATTCCATTGCAGACAAGCTCTGCTTTCGTAGTGGCAAAATTGGGGAAGACAAGTCCAGGGCAATCGCAAAGTATGACTTCCGAGCTGAGATGTATGGTTTGGAAATGCTTCGTCTTGCCCGGCGTTGATGAGACAGAGACCTTCTTCGCTCCGATAAGTGCGTTAATGGTAGAAGATTTACCAACATTGGGGTAGCCCACGAGACCAATTGTCGTCTTCCGTGGATGTTCCGGGTCTGTGTTCTCGACGTCTGGAGCATTCTCTAGAAATAAAGCCTCAAGTTCATCTACAGTCAAGATCCTCGTCCGCTGATCCATTTCTTCATCAAGATCCTCCTCACTTGCCCACTGCTCTTCGTCCTCCTCTGCATCTTGTACATCCAACTTCTCGGCCTCATTAGCGAGCTTGTCACCCGCACCATCTACTACTTCCTCGATAGCTTTGTCTGGCACCGCCGAAGCATTCTCGGTAGGCTCTGCATCTATGTCCATTGCCTCATTCATCTCCTTCGCCAGCGAAGCCGAGAAGAACTTGTAGTTGATCCCTACTCTTTGGAAATAGTTTGCCCAAGCTTCTCTTTGCGGCAAAGTCATCATGTCCGCCTTGTTGACCAATAGTAGATTATTCTTCTTGGGATCGACCTCCTTCACATATTTTTCAAGATCTTCTGACCGGAAGAGCAATGGGTTTCTGGCATCCACAATCTGCACCACAAGATCTGACCTCTCGATGACCCTCCATAACTGCCTCCATACTTCCAAATTCCTCTCGAAGGGCGTCATCAAGAGGTCGTCATTTTCTTGTAACTCAGCTAAGCCTCTTCTCCAATCGAGCAGACTCGCTCTCTCTTTCTGATCCAACGCTTGCGGTGTAGTGGTCTCGTCCCAAGGTGGCCGCCTTGGTACAGTCAAACGATTCTTGTTCGCGTTTTGCTTCCTGATAGCTGATCTTTCCTCGGCTGCTGACAAGAGGTATGGATTGCGTTGATCGGTATGTATGATCTTCACATTGTTCATTTTCTCCGCGGTAAAGTCTGTCCCAGCAAGCTCTGCGGTGCTGAGAAACTCATCAAGAGCACCTTGCTCTGTTACACTTCGCATTTTTACCCATGATGCTTCTTTGGGGGCATTTGTGACATAGGTCTGTCCCTCTTGATCTGTTCTGTGTATTCCTGCCGAGACCTTCTTGCGGTCGTTGCCTTTGCCTCTGCCGAAACGGTCATTCATGAGGCTGTTTCCCAGCCCCACTGCATTTTTGGATTTGGCGAGCACCATTCTTACTGCGATAACAGTATATGATTGCCGGGCGAGTGTGTGGGTGGTACTGCGTAAATAAAGCAGTCAAGAAAAGGCGGGCAAGACAGCTCGGAGCGCCAAGATATTACAAAGCCGCCTCGGGTACTACAAGGTACTAGTACGCCACCAGCCTTTCTGCCCCCAGGTTCCTGGTCGGCCTCCAGTGTGAATGGACCTATAGAAGACAATACCTAGCACATACTCGTAAAGTGAATTGGTAAAGAGGTAAACGAGCTGGTCTTGGCAAGACTTGAAATTCTAGAACCATCTTTGTAGCCTATAGTTATGTAATGTAAGGTATCTAGCCAATGTAATCGGTACTAGTACAGAGCCGAAGCACACAGGCAGAAAGATCTATCTTGACGTTGCCTTCCGGCTTCAATTTCATCTCTTCCACGACCCTCATCATTCTCTTTTTGTCTCTCTTCTCTCGGCTGATGACCCGTGAACAGGACTAGTGTCCCAACACCATAAGCCGCGCACATCGACCCCGAAAGCACAAATGTCACCCAAAACATACGCGATTCACCTAATGCTCCAGTAACAATAGGTCCAATGCTCTGGCTATATGTCCTCGCAACATTAGTAATTCCCATGAAAGCGGTACGTTCTGCTGGGGGGGAACATAGACGCCACAAAGGCAGTGCGAAGTCCAATGACGCGGGTACATGACTGCAGGATTAGAAAAACTATGGCTAGGGTGGCGGATGGTGAGATTGGTATCAAAGCACTTGTCACTCCGCGCAGGAGGCTCGCAATTGTCATTGCCTGGAGAGAAAATGTCAGCACGGCATATTGCCTGCTGGAATACGAGGGTCACCTTTGCGCTTAGATATTGTCGATGCTCCGTGGTTGGACAATGCTTGGGGTATATATACGATGAAGAGAAGGGTGTAGATGGTTTTCTCTCGCATGACAAACTTCTGATTGAAGAAACATGTAAGCCAAGACCTGCTCCTGTGATCAGCTTCAGAGCATTCACACTCTCCAAAAGTCTAAAAGATCTCACGTAACAAGCAGCCCCGAACCAACGGCTTCTAGTGCCAGGAGGAAAGTGCTGCCAAAGACTCCTTGCTTGTTGAAGATGCAACCTGCCAGCCCCTTCTTCCTTTGTCTTTCTTACCGTCATCCGGCAATAAGCGTAAGTTTTCAGATGGTGGCACTGAAGCATTTTCCCGATGCGCAAGATTCACCGACTTGATATCAATCTCGCAAGCCTGACTGAGCATCAAACACAGTACAGTTTTGACTATTCCGAGAACCCCGTAACCGAAGAAGATGATATGATACGCGCGGGCCGTCGTCCAGCCGTCTCTCGATTCGAGGGCCTCGATCACCGAGCCAGACACAATGGTACCAAGGGCCTGTCCAATCATGCCAATAAGACTATACCAGGAAAAAACCTCGCTACGCGCCTACACTGGGGTAAGCTGAGCGAGTGCGGATACCTCAATGGCACAAAAGGGCCCAATCTCATTCGCACTAAGATGAACTATTGATAGCTGTCCCAGACATGATCATCTCCGATGTACCTTTGGTGAAATCATACCTGGGACTTATGACCCCAACAGTCGCCGCGGCGAGCAGCACCCAGAAGTTATTGCTCAGTCCAAAAACAGCGCCACTCATCGTAATTGCGAGAGCACCTAGACATAGCACATTGCGCCTTCCCAATCGATTGGCCGTGAAGGTAAGAAGGACACTGAAAAGGATATCACCGAGCAGCGTCAGGGTCATGAACAGCCCGATCTTTGTGTCTGAAAGCCCAAGATCTGCTAGAAACAGCGTCAGGATCAGGGTTGTGCCACTGTAGGCGAAGAGACGGCTGAATCGCTGGAGGCAGAGAACTTTGAAGTCGCGGGTGGATTGGTACAAAGTTATGACTCCTACTTCGCTGCTGAGTCGTGTGCAAGAGCGCGCTACCACATTTCTGGCCGTTCTGAATAGCCTCTCGGTAGCTTTGAAGCAGACTCCAAGCGTTTGCCTGAAAACCTTCAATGCTCTGCCCGTCCAGAGTGGATGTTTGCGAGGAGCCTGAGCGTTTTAATTCCGTCATTCTACCTGAGTTCCCCCACTCAGCCCTCCTGCCACATTCGTTTGGGTACTTAGTAGATCATCCAATTGCGTGTACCAGGTATGCGTGGTTGATTGTGTGTGTGTGTTCGTATAGCCGCCCCTCTAGCCATAGTGCAAATGTTTGGGGCCCCAACTGCAACCAGATACCAGTACACTCTGCAGTCCACATCTCTTCACCCTCGAGCTTCCGTCTAACCGAATCCTAGTCTGAATAATCCACTACATACACACTGACGTCTAGATCCTCATTGTATACCCAACGTGAGAGAGAGAGCAGTGAGGATTGCCGAATCCAAATGATAAGGCTTATCGACTATTTAAACTCTAGCCTCCAGGGAACCCTCTACAGGATCAACACCAGCGACTGCGTATTACGCGCATTAAATTCAGGGCGAAAAATGATTGCGGGGTGCATGCTTAGCGCCTTGGGGTTATGTGCATGCCTATGGCTTTACCCATAGAGGGTATGTCTTCGGGATACGTCGCGATAAAGTTGGGTCTGCTCCAGCAGCTCCCAGTGCTAGGCGCAGGGCACTTTAAGTTTTAGCACATTGGATAGCTTTCTTGTCTGGTCCACCTTCTGCAGAGAGCTTCATACGCACGACTTCGACCGAAGGTCGAGTAGTTCGTATCTACACGTGGGTTACCGATCGACGAGGGTAGCAAGATATTCGACGACTGTGAGAGGGGTGATGCTCGCTATCGCTGTCATTGATAACGATCGTTGAGAAAGTGTGATCGCCGTATCCTGCCGATTCTCTTTTGTCTGATGGTGACACAAACGGGATGCTTATACACTTGATGAAACGAGCAAACAGCGCCCACAGAGGCACGTACAGAAGCTAGCAAGTGCCGCCCAAATATCATTTGCCGGACGGGCCCTCCTTCAGGATAAAATCGATTCTTGTCCAGAATGAACAACGAAGCCCAAATTCGCCGATCGACCAAGTCAGTGGTCCTAGGGAAGGCGAAGGTGATGAGCTATGAGGACCTCAGCGAGGCACGAGTGAAGCGTGCTGCGAAAGATAAAGCTAGCGAGGGCAAGGGAAAACGCGGTCGTAAGCGCAAGAGTCCTGCACCAGAGCCAAAGACCAAAGTGGCGCGGATGAGCGAAGTGCCAGAGCCATGGAGGGCCCCGGTGGCGCGGATGGTCGTGGAAGATTGGATTGCCGCATAAGGGATGGAGAATCTTTGCTCTGTTCTTCAGCCTGGATCCTTTTGAGGCAGGCTCGCGCAGGCCGCGACCTGTTGCTGTACAGTAGAGAGTGGGCCTTTGGGTCGCACCTTTGGCGCAATGGAAGAGGAATTACAATGACCTCCTAATAGTGGACACGTGTATTCCTCTCCATTTTTGAGCAGCCACAGGCAAAGATTGCTTTCACAATTGCCGCTTGTGTTGGTGAATGTAGATGAACTCAGTCAGCCGCTCTTCTCCAAAAGTCACTATCATTGTCAAAATCATAATTATCGTCATCATCATCATGACCACTCCTATGATAGCCATAATCATCATTTCCAAAGTCACTGAAATTCCTGTCGGAGTCCTCTTCCACATATTCTGCAATACTGATTGTCCATCCGTGACTCTCCATTTTCCTTCGTATATGATCACTCGGGCCGTCTTCATACACCTCAACGATGATCTCTTGTAGGGACGAAATGGCTCTGAAGTGAGTATTGACCAGCTTTAAAGCCTCAATAACGACCTTGGGGTTGTCTAGTGCGTCGAGCCTAAGCTCCATGGCATTTGTGCTATATAGGGACGTCGTGAGCGTGCTCAAATTGGCGCAGCGGCTCTGTATGTTCGCGAGGATGCTAACGCTATCGTCCTCGAGGGTGACAACGCTATCGTCCTCGAGGGTGACATCACCGGGGTCTAGATAGAGGAATTTCGGAAAGTCGACACAGATATGTCGGATATAGTCTGCGTTGTTTCGGCCGATTTGCCCGAGGAACGAGGCTACGTCCTCAGGGGTGCGCGTGGTAAAATCGAAGCGATTCTGGGCGTAGAATAGCGAGCTGGCTTCGCGGTGGATAGTCTTGTTCACGTGTAGGAGCTCAGGGGTCAGCTTCCGTGGTGAATGGTAATCATCAACCCAGGGATCAATAAGTTCTTGGTGCAATAAGACCAGCTCATAGATCTGATCGCGAAGTTCGCGGGAGAGGCTGAAGAAGTTGGACGACATGTCGATGTTCGTGAGGCTGTTGATGCTTCGTTCGCTGTGAGAATCAGTCAATGCCTCTTAATTAATTTGAGGGTTGCTATTGAAAGGGATGGCCGACAGTGTGGTGGAACCAATGTATAGTTGATTAGTTATCTAACAGTGAAAAGAACAAGGATGACCAGGCTCGTGTGGGTAGAAGAAGGATGTAGAATCTATGGAAGCCTACGGCAGCAGGATATTTATCCCACCAGGCCAAGCTATACTACATATGGACTAGCTGCAAAAGCCTGCAAAGAAGCACCTTCCGACTACTCGTGTGGCCGAGAAGTCTATCATCTTGGCAGTCCGGCGCGGGAGTACCCACCAATCAGACTACCTCGTTTCTCCGCAGTTTGACACTGAATTATGCCTATGATCTACTGTGCTAACATATCTAGGCTAGTCTGCCAAGATGATAGACTTCTCGGCCACACGAGTAGTGAGGCCTGCAACCCAGAGTTTTCACCTCCTGGCCACACTAATCCCAAATATATGCTGGGGCGCGGGGCTACCCAGTAGTGGAAAGCTTGTCGATACCGTGGCACCGTGGGAAGACCACTCAACACTGCCTTACATATGATTCATCACTAAATCATTCTAATTATTCGGGGACTCTCTGAGAGCTCTCCGAGAACTACTGTCGAACGGGCTGCCGAAGCAAGCTCGAAGTGTCATTAAAATTAGAATGATTTGAAATACGTAGCAGTATTCTTAGGGGAGACCCCCTAAACCCCCCTCCCTGGCTCTTCTCGCAAGCTCGACAATTCACATAAATCTTAGTCTTTAGTATATCTTTACGAATACTTTAACAAATTCTATATACGCTATATTGTTTGAAAGCGCATGATTGACTCTATAATTCTATAAACTTACTTTATTATTATATCTTTAATATAAGAAAAGGAATCAAAAAAGGTAGATTTGAAGATTTTGAAGTTCTTTTCGAGCTTTCTCTTGTGGACATACCCGCGTTTAGATTGAAAATGAAGAAATAAGGTGTGTTTTAGACTAGAAATAATGGAATCTACTTGGTCACTAGTCTCTTAGCGTAGAAGCCATTTGGGATCTCAAGTCTTGAGCAGTGAGAAAGTAAGTTCTCCAATCAGACTTAGCCTCTAATTGGAAAGCTTGCTTTCTCAATGCTCAAGACTTGAAAACGAGAATGGGTGCTACGCTAAGAGGCTAGTGACCAATCAGATCATCGAATTCCACCATTTCTAGTCTAAAACATACCTTATTTCTTCATTTTCGATCTAAACACGGGTACATCCAAAAGAGAAAGCACCATAAGGCTGAACCTCGAACATCAACTTTATTAATTTATTCTATTTGATTCCTTTTACGTTACGTAATAAATAATAATAAAGTAAATCTATAGAGTTATAGATTTAACTATACGCTTTCAAATAATGTAGAGAAGACGAAATTTGATAAAGTATTCGTAAAGATATACTAAAAACTAAGATTTATCGAGCTCGCGAGAAGAGCCCCTCCGGCAGGAGCCCTCGGAGGGTTAGGGGGGTTTTCAGGGGGTCTCCCCCTGAGTATATCAAATAAATTACAACGTCTCTCTCGATTCTCAGTGAACTATAACGTCTCTCTCTAACGTCTCTCTCGATTCTCAGGGTTAGATCCTTTAAAATCCCTTAAACCCTTCGGAGCTCTTTAAGGGCTCTCCGAGAGCTTCTGTGGAGGGGCTGTCAAAGCAAGCTTGAAATCAATCAAATATTATTAAAATAATTAAATTTCGAGCTTGCTTTGACAGCCCCTCCATAGAAGCTCTCGGAGAGCCCTTAAAGAGCCTTCGAAGGATCCGAGGGGTTTTAGGGGATCTCCCTGAGAATCAAAAATAGTTAAAAACCAGTACTTGGCAAGCTTTTCACTACTGGGAAGGACACGCCCCAGCACATATTAAGCGAGCCGATCAGGGTTCCCCGGACCCATGAAATAACTAACTCCACATTATTACATGGCTTCAGGCGAGTCACCACCATATTTTTCAACGATTGCAGACATTGTATCCGGATGATATCTGATATCTCGTCGAAAACTATCAGCAGCACTATTGGCAGCTTTTTTTTACTTTGATGCTATGTGGATGTTGTAGACACCTGGCGCAAGGGATTCTTGGGAGCTTATCACCACGGGACCGAAGCCTGCATTATCAGCTGGCTTTGGGTCATTGGACAACAGTGTAGAGTAGCTGTTACACGACATAGCTGCCCCGCCTACCATTCATTCCAATTGAACTGTCGACTCACCAGTTCCAGCCGATCATGGTCTCCCATTATCATTACTCCCTGCTTATTCTGAAAATTTACACTGGTATGAAACTCCTGACATTATGAGCTGCCGTTGTGTTCTCTGCGATCGAACTTTCGACAGCGACAAGGCTCTGCAGCAGCACAAACGAGACGCACCTGCGCATGCCTTCGACTGTACAACATGCGACCGTCATCTCGGCAGCGAAGAGGCTCTTGACCAGCACCTACGAGACTCGCCCGCGCATGCTCCGTCCTTCAACTGTGAGAGTTGTAATCAATTCTTCGGCAGCGATGAGGCTCTGGAGCAGCACCTGCAGAACTCTCGCATTCATCAGCAGGATCCGGATACCCCTTTAGATCTCTTTTTCCGCTCTTTCCCAATCTTTGATTAAGACCCTTCTCTCTCACCAGCTGCGTCGTATGCCAACTTGCGAGAACATGAAGGGTGGCGGCGTGGCGATGCTGCGTCAGACGATGCATGGAACATATATCAAGATGCATTAGAAAGCGAATTGCGCATGTGGTATGGTGCAGAGAACGATTTGGCTACGTGGCATGCCCTTTGTCGTGCCATTCGTGTCAAGCCGCTTCCGCAAACGTGTGAGCAATGCGAGGAAGTATAAGCGCGTTCCACGAAACTCTAAACATTCATGCTAATCCGGATCATAGGTTGTACGAAGGACACATGTTAACATTGTTGATTTGATTGAGTGGGGACGAGGACGTAAAAACACCGAATAAAGAGTCCAGACCTTTCGCAATGTGGCAGAGCTGCGAGCCTACACCAAGAGCACGGGTAAGATATTTCGTAATACGTTCGATCAGGAAGACGGCAACGTTGTTCTAAGACAATTACTCCGTAAGATCTTTCGTGAGAGTTTGCAGAAAAGTGAAGGTTCGTATGCGTGTGTACTAAGGGCTAGATTTTAGTCCCCCGATCTACTCCAAAAATCAATATCACTGTTAATGTTATAATCGTCATGCCAAGTATTATTATAGCCATAATCATCATTCTTAACGTCGCCCAAAGATCTTTCAAACAGATTAGAGACACGGCAGCCGAGATCGACGTGGTGGAGGTTCTTGACGAGATGTACCGTATTCACATCGCTCTTTTGACGGCGAATGGCCATGTCGGTCAAACCGTCTTGATGTATATTCTTTTTCCCGCATTGTATAGGTCGCTTTGCTGCATAGAGCACCCGCTCGTCGCGCGGCATCAAATAGGAACGCAGCTACGCGACCTGCGTTCCTTCCGCTTGCCGGCATCGTGAGGCCTTTTGCATTTCCATTTGCTTCAGTGTGCCCCTGCCGGTTATCACCTTACCGGTGTTATCTTTAAAACTGTAGTTCCAGACTTGCTTGTTAGGATCCTCCCACGGACGAAAATCTGGTGCCGCCTGAGGTGGCAGATAAGGATCGGTGGTATACCGCCACTCTATCTCGATCGCACGGCGTGCGGCAGGTGTCGTGGCTACGGTCCCATGTGCCTCTCGCTCCTGCAAATGAACGAGAAAGTTGCTTCGCATTTTCCAGGATTTGCCGTAGTTAGGACACGAAGGAAGTCATGTGTCTGCGTTGCACTGAATCGAGGCGATTATAGAAGCAATGGAGGGTGGTTGTGGATGGGGTGAACGGACCTCAATAGATGAATGAGAAGCGAGTGTTCTGGACTATGCTGCCTTCTGATCTTAGAAAGAGTGCGAGAG